AAGCGAACGTTTTTGGAATGTCGATGATAAAAAGTCTTAGGTCGACTTGGTGAAGACTTAAAATGGAGATGGAGATTGAAGTCCTAGGCACAAGATATTGGCATATATTGGCATGAAATCAGATACACCAGTGGAGGGAATCTTGGTGAAGACTTTGCGTCTTGACATTGCAACTTGGGTGCCCGAAAGGTGTGAAAACCATAGTACCCCAGGGCGTGGCAAGAGCGCATTGATGAATGGCCACTGTTCCTGCACTGGCAAAGGTGCATCCTGTTGATGAAGTGAAGGGCGAATGAATTCCCGCGACCGTTGTAGCATGGTTGTAGATGGTTGTAGCATGTAGGGTAAATCGATAAATTGGATAAATCCGTTTGTGTATCCCCAAAGGTTTGTTATTGCTCTCATCATGATACCGGTGGACCCATTTGATGGTCAGAGTTATCGTCCAGTTGACCACCTGAGGCCACGTGTCTTTGCCCCAACCTGAGCGATGCACGCTACCTCTACGATCAGCTGCTGGTGCGCCACGACCGGTTCTCGTTTCTGTAGGTCAAGCTGCATTCGGTGTGATATCTGGGTGCATATCCAGAACAAGTTAATGGCCAGCTTTGCACCTGGTTCACATGTTAATGAAGCATGACATTTACAGCGGTTCCAGCCTCCATTACAATAGCGGGGTCGCATGTACCTTGTGATGGCAGGAAGTTGTTATCTTGTTATCTCAATCTGGTAGGATCCCAAACAGAAGTCTCGTTCATCTCTTAGCATCCTTCAGACTATCACCATCTCCACCTCATGGCTCAAGCAATGCCACTGCCAGCAATACTATCTCCGGAAATGCTACCTCACAGCGACCTTCCCGGTCAGTCTTTTATCTGGGGGAGTATAATTCTCGAGCTGGTGATATATCTAAAAGCAAAGCATGGTGTCGATGGTGTGTATGAATCAAGCAGGGGTGTTTCGTATAATGTGGGTAAAACAATGCCATAAACCATCCCCCAAATCATCATAAATTGGTGCTATAAACCCATTCCCAAATGGGTGGTTTATGACATTGTTTTACCCACATTACATGTCCAAAAATCTCCAAATCCCTCCTCTCTAGGAGGGCTTGGTTTAGCTGTCTCCAGGTCCTAGCTCCTTTGTTCCTTCCATTGTCGGGGAGCCATGGGGTAAACCTGGGCTAGGTGGATGATATTTTGTTCCAGGGATTATGATTATGCTCTGCTGTTTTTGTGCCATCAGTTCCATGGATTGAACATCAAATCTTGGGGTTACAGCTTCAAGCCCATTGATGTCTAAGCACATCGCTTGAGTTCAAGGTCGTTACCAAGAGTTTGAAAACCATTGACACTCGACACTCGAGACAGAAAAAATGGCCGAAATTACTTCATGATCATGAAGGGATATCTCAAGCATTTACGATGTTTCAACCATGTTTTTGAGCAACAGCAACTGTCGCTATGTTCGCAGTTGGTCTCACTTGATGATCATCCCATGATGTTTTTGACCAAGGACTGCGTCGGCTCCCTTCTGGCGAGGAATGGTGGCCAAGGGGCTCAGCGAACTGGGAAGGTCGCTTTTGGGTCGGAGTCATGTGGTAAACCCAATACCCTCTGGTAATTTAACATAACTATGGAAAATCACCATTTTTAATAGGAATATCCACTATAACTGGCCATTTTCAATAGCTATGTTAGTTTACCAGAGGGTACATCCCGATAGCAAATCCCTTGGAAGATTTATAAAGGCCACCACTGGCGATTTCATGAGAAGATCAGGTATGGTTTATCGTTGGTTTCACCACATCTGATTCTTGAGGATCACGGCAATCCATTCAAGGAATCAGCGTCGAGCACAGATTTTTGCCGGCCGGTTTCAAATAGTATTGATTTCCATCCAAGAAATGCGATGATGATCCTTCCTTGATTGATTCATTTCAGGGAGTGCCAAAAACCCACCCGCCAAACTTCGGTAGCACCCTTCATAGTTCCCTTTGTGCACCCATTGTGTTTGATGTTCATCACCAGAAGTATGCGCCCTTCATCACCAGAAATCTGAAACCCATCGCACTGATGGGATGGTATTGCTTTTGGTTTTTGTTTTTTGGAGTACTTTAACATATGGTTTGTTTAAAATATGGTTTGTTCCATAGTATGTATAGTTCCATGGTATCATATGTATCATATATATATATATCATATATACTAAAAATCTGCTTCGTTGTTTGAAATATGGTTTCTTCCATGTCTGGCACATTTGAGGCCGCCACTGACACCCGAATGGAAGCCTTCAGAGAAACGTGGGATGACAGGATCCAGTGCCCCATGGGAGCATGTAAATTAACTGGGTATTTTTTTAGTATACATGTACAAAATTCTTTGGGGATGAATGTTGAAAAATGAAATATTACAATATATTATACATGTATAAATATATGGTTAAATTATGAGGACCTCACTGTTCTCCCTCACTGGAAACGATGGTTAGTAGGGGGAATCATCCCCAAATGGCCGCAAGATTCAGGTTAGTGAATTATCATAATTTACCCAGAGTGTTAAGATATGTCATCCTGCAGTTGATAGAATCTGGAAATGTCAAAACCTCATGAAAACGGGAATATGATTGAAAAATCCATATCCACTTCAGGAGGATTATGTACGTATATGTATATATACATGTACATACTCTTATCAATCTCATTAGAGTACAAATTATACAAGGATATGAATATATGTATAATATATATATATATATTATTTATATATGTAATTATATGTACAATTTATACATACATATACATATATTCGGGAGTTTCCAACCTCACAGCTCAGTGGCTCACAACTCACCAGGACTCCCAGCGAGGTGGACCAGAGGTGTCCCCGCTGCTCACGGGCGGCGACGTCGCCACAGGCGCCCCCGGAGATCTTGAGAAGTTTGGGTGATGAATAGGGAATTTAGTGGTGATTTATGGTGATTTACTGGGAATTCAATGGTGATGGCGATTTGATGGACTCCATGATATATATATATATATCCATTGCATATACTTATATGTGGTATTAATATCATAGGATATGTAATGGGATGTAATGATGGATGTAGTGGGATAGAATGGGGATATTCGTGGAATATAGGGGATATAAAAGGAGATCAATGGGAACAAGAGGAATTCAATGATGGTAGCATGGGGATATGAATGTACCAAAAATAGATTAAAAGGAATAGTATAGGAGAAAAAGTATTCCCAACATAGCTGCAAAGACCATTTCAAATATTACAGAAAAAATAGCCTCTGGTAATGACACATGGTTGGAAAATCACCCATTGAATTCCATGGTCTTCCCAGCTTTTTGAAGCTCGGGGATTACCCAGCTAGCGTTTGAGTACCGGAGCTATTTGATCCAGGAAGGATACAATGAGCAAGACAGGAATTGGGCATTTACTGATTTTTAGACTGAAGACAAGACAAATGCATTGGGTTGGAAGAAAGTGGATATGCTGTCAATGCTGTCCTTAATTGTTCTGCGGTTTCAACCGCAGTCTAACCAGGATCAACTCGTACTACCGAAACCACCCCTCGATAGGAGTTCATATCCTTTGTTGGTAGTGTTATGGAAATGGCTTCATTCCTGAATCAAAGGGTGAATTTTTGCCATGCTCTTTACTCCCCCTTAATTTCAAGACATACGGAAAAATTATATACTTGTACATATCTATTGGAGATAACATAGAGAAACTACTCCATGATAAACGTTTCCAGTCCTGGCTGTAGGTTTTCCTGGCTGACACGGGGCCATTGCTGGGCCGCGAAGCGGACGCTCCCTCGGTCAAAATCGCCCCAGGGGGTCAAAAATTGGGACCCCGGCGGAATTGTTTTTCAAACTGAAATTTGGGATCCACATCCCCCTTACCCTCCAGTAAATTAACATAGACCCTGGTAGATAGGGGTTGGAAGATTAGTTTCCTCTAAAAAGTTGTGATTTTAGGGTCTATGTTAATTTTCCAGAGGGTAATTTTGACGAACCCGAAAAAATGTGGTCTGAAAGATGATGTTGTTATCATGAGACATCTAGGGAGCGTATCTCATTTTAATCCATATCCACATGAGGGGTGAGTGGGTGTGAGTGGTTCAGTTTTCCATGGTGCTTGGATGGCTTGGAGCCTGAGTTCTGCAGCTCATCGCTTCACCGTATTTGGTGTTGGTCCAACATCACTGATTCTGGTGGTGGATTTTTTTGGCACGTCAAGTTGTCACACATTAAAATCGTTTCAGCGTTGACTGAGGGACCCACTTTGTCTACTGTACGACATCTATAGCTTAGGTATGTCCAAAATTGGAAACCCCCAAATATATTATTTTCCCATTTAGATTGATCAGTTCAGATTTCATTAGTTTTAAGCCATTCCTTCCCTGGTTCGCCGTCCCAGGACTACAACGACGTTCCGGCCACGGTGCACCAGCCAAGCCTTGACAGGCTGCTGGCCAGTGGGGTGGACCAGCTCTTGGCCACACACGTGGCGCAGCTCTTTGTGTGCCTTGGTGCATTGAGAAATCTGGAGAAACCTGGAGAATTTCCGAAGCCATGGAGGTTATGGAGGTTTGCTGGGAAAATCCACGATGATTTTCAATTGCCATGTTTGAAGACTGGAGGCTATTTGCACATGTTATTGCGGAATATTTCCCACTTGACTTTCATATTTTCGAGGGCAACGGGATAGTTTGTGAGAGGAGCTTCAAACATGTGTTCTTTTCCATCCCTGCGATGGGCAGGTGAGGAGTAGGAGGATCCCACTTCTGGATAGACGGCTTGGAGAAAATGTTGGGGACCCTTCCAATCCTTCACCATTTTAGCAGAATTGAACTTGGAACATAAACCCACCATGTTGGAAAACCCATGGAAAACCCACCTCAATGGAAGCGTTTCTGAAGAGACCCAAGCTCGAGGCGCGATCCGCTGAATGTCTTCCGGGAACGCTTGGAAGTGGACAACGCGCGGATGCCAAGTGAGGTCAAGAAGAGCCTCCACAGCAGCGCTGGGATAAAGGTGACTCTAAGTGACCAGCTTGATGCGTGTAGACAATGGACAGTGAGGTAGTGACTCCAACTAAAATAACTAAAGCACTTGCTCAGCAGACTTGTCAAAGCCTCATCTTTTCCATAGGACCTGCTGTTGAACCTTTTAAGTCACCAGGCACTCCCCATCCCCGTTTTCTCCAGGCAATGGTTGGAGATCATTGGGAGCAGCTGCAATCCTCGCAACTGGGTCTGGGAAGATGGTTGACCGGTCAACCCGGTCAGGCACAAGTTGGGGTACAACCCCCGCAACTATGGCCTTGGGCAAAACCACTTAGTTCGCTGGAACATCTGGAACTGCACCCCCCAAAATGTAAAAAAACATGCTTGGTTCATGTACAAATGATCATCAGACACCCATTGTAAGACGAGCGGTAGGTCACTAAAGGCAAAACTGCTATGAGTTATAAGTTATAAGGAAAAAAGTTCAGCTTGCGAAATTCCGAAAGCTACAAAGATCTAGCCGTGAACACATTCAAAGAGGCCCAAAAAAGAAATCTTTTTGGGTCATCCAGAGGGGCGCTTCCCCAATGGGGCTGAGGAATTGGGGCACGGTGCGGTTCAAGCCACCCCCAGCGACTTGGCTACGACTGGCCATCTCCCAGGATCTGCAGGATTTGATCAGCCATGGTGAGCCCATGAAAAAAGCCCCAACTAGGCTTCACAAGTGGGGCGATTTTTTGTGCTGTCAATCAACCAGAAATGCAACTGGAGAACCGCAAGAAATCATGGTGTCCAAGTTGTTTTTCGAGTAATGTCAACCCCGGATGAGACTAAACCATGGTTTATTAATTAGGGGAGTACTCCCCTAAGAGTCAGAATCCGATTGAAACAACCTAGGGGTTCAAAAAAATCCAGGGTTGACATGAAAATTCTGCTCCCTTCCCCCTAATATGAAACACCTCCGGCAAGGCCCAGAGTTCCAACCCCGGCGGCAAGATCGGCTGGCGGGTGGAGCTCAGGACCTCACAAACTGGGAATGTGATGGTGGAATTTGATGGGAATATGAGAAAAGATTATTCACAATGGGATTTTTTTGATGGGGATATGATGGCAATATGGTGGAGATACATGAATCAGTTGTGAAATCTCTGTGAATTTTGACCAATGCATTCCCTTTGAGTCTGACACAGCGGCTGGGTGGTTGGAGATGACTGGGATATCCGCCCTGGCAGGACACCTGAGGCGCAGTCGGGTGGTGGCTTCGCTGCCAGGTTTCTTCACTTATGGGTGGATGGAAACTGGGATTTAACATGCATGGAGATGTATGGCGCGGGAAAAAGCATTCGATTTCGTGGGTCACTCGACAACACCAATGTATGAGAGTAGGTAAACCCAATAGTAAACAATCCCATCAATCCCCAAAAATCACCACAATCGGTGGTATAAACCATCCCCAAATGGTAAGCTCTTATTGGGTTGCCCACATTAACAGATTTCGGAAAGACTGTTTGCTTCCCAAGCTTAGACCCACTTTCAACGACTTCCCACTTCACAGGCTCAAGCGACAGACTTCGAAAATGCCGCGGTCTGTTCTCAGCCGGAGGGACAGAACGGCTGCATCTGCCATGACGCTTACTTGTTGGTTCCTATTTGTAGATACGAAATGAATCAGATGCGTATGGAAAACACAAGAACCTGACAGTTGCCCGGAAAAGCGGATCATTTGTCAGTGCCGGTGATTTCAATAACTAAAATACTCACGTTTAGATTGCTTGAAGATTCTATCAACAAATTCAGAATTTCAAAAAGCGATGGCAATTCGAGAAGATGCAAGGATATTGTCTCATGCACATGGAAATGTGGAAATGTATGTCAATTTGTCCCACTACCAACACCAGGATCAATGTCACATCCCTTCCATTCTAACCATTCTCAGCGCTTCCAACTGTCATATTGGAAATTCAGTTGGCCAACAAGTCTCATAAAATTCATAGAATTGGATGATGGGAAAAATTACAGGAAACCCCTATATTTGATGGTAAAGACCATGGTTTCCTGTAGATTTTCCCTTAAACCAATCCATTGAAAAATTCAAGCTCCCAAAAAAATGCTGATTCAGGTCATCGCCATCGCGCGAGTCTTGGCTCAGCAGATCCTGGAGGAGCGCTGGGACGTCTATCAACCCATCTCCAAGGTTGAGGAGAACCTGCGTCGCAGCGAAGGACCGGGCTGAGCACGGCGTCTTTTGGGGACTGGCTGGTGTGAGATGATGGTGGATTCTATGGAACCCCAGCTATAGCCTCTGGTAAACATACAAAAAACTATGGAAAATCACCATGTTTAATGGGAAAACTCACTATTTCGACTGGGCCATTTTCTATGTCGCTTTTTGTAGGTTTACCAGAGGGTAGCCGGATCGGTGAACAAAATCAAAGATAGGATAATGCACTAGGAAACAAGAGAGGATGTAGCATGATTGAGCGAAGATTTTTGGGAGACATGTTCTAAATGAAGGTTCTAAGAGAATTATGCGCAGGTCAAAATCTAAGTTGCGGCCCGCCCAGATTGACTAAACCGACTAAACCGACTGACCCCAATTTCAATTCTGACCACGGAAGCTGCCTAAATGATGCTGGCCTTATTTTCTTCAGGATCAGCATCCCCACCATTGGCAGCGTCCCAGGCCTTGCGGCCGTGACACGAAGTCGCTTTCACTTCCGGAGGGACTTCCTGGGAGGTGCGACGAGTCAATCTGCGGTGGCCATTTGGATGTTGGAAGATTTCTGGTTGGTGGTTTGGAACATTTTTTCCATAATATATTATATGGGATGTCATCCGAAACTCATTGACGAACTCCATCATTTTTCAAGATTGTTTTTGCACCACCAAGCAGTATCCAATGGCTACCTTTAAGATCGTTTTAGAGTCACTTGGACAAGTGTGTCTGTTGTGACTCTGGGCACCGAACTTTCATTCTGGCCTTGGCCCCGCACCTCAATGCTGGCCCAACATTCGAGAAATGGATAGCTACCCCAATGGTTGATTGTTGAACCCCAGTTCCAAGAAAAGGGAGCACTTAAGCTAGGTCACACGGGTGGGGATCGATATCAGAATTCCAAGACTTTCTGGGAAAGATAGAAAGATTTCTTGCATGTGTTTCGGTTTTGGCATCCCAGTGCACGTTTCATTCGTAGATCTAGCATAATCTAGCTCCATCTTCAACGAACAGCAATTCTCCCGGCGCATCACGGAAGAACATGGAAGAAATATGTTTAGCAGTGTGCACAGTGCTAACTCATGAGTTTGATCATGTTTGTTCACTATGGTGCCATCCACAAGCTTCAACAGGTTGGGTTCGTAGTGCCATCAGCACAGCAACATCTCCCAGGTGCCACCAAGGACCTTGGGGACTTTTCTTTGGAGGATGCGGACCCGGGGGTGTGTTGAACGTCACTAAATAAAAAGGTGAGCCGAAATTGTCCAGAAATTCCGGTAGAAAATAGTACAGTATACATATCATCATATCTAGATACCTCCAGATACCTTTGCGGGCATATTACCGTGCAAACATTCATGGGAAGTGATCAGTAGAGAGTGTTTGACAAACGTAATGGAGACGTTGCTAGTCCCTTCAAGCTAAGTCATGAGTGAATGACGCCATCGGCCGCAACCAGAAAGGAGATTCTCTTCGGAGATGGGCACGGAGTGTTTGCTCCTCAGGGGACCATGGGACCATTCCCACTGATTTCAAATTGAGGTCTTCGAAGCATCATCATTCACAAGATATAAAAACTCAAATAGCTCCGACTATGTGTATATAAACATCTGGTTGGTGGTTTGGAACCATGGAATTTTATGACTTTCCATATATTGAGAATTTCATCATCCCAACAGACGATTTTTCAGAGGGGTAGGGCTCAACCACCAACCAGAATAGCTAATTAACCATCATTAACCATATAATAACCATTGATATTAACCATTATTAACAGCATATTGCCAATCAATGGTAGGTTGAAACCACCAACCGGACATGCCATAGATATAGACCCACAAGGCTCCTTCGATTCCGTCCTTGTCAAATCAACGAAATCGCTTCGCGCAACTCAGCTTCGCACGATGCTTGAGCTTCATGCAGCGGAAGCATGAAGCAGGACCCCAAAACCGGATGACTTGGCTTTTTGGGAAACATCACGGGAGATTCTGGGAGCTACCCTCTGGTAAACTAACATTTTGCGAACTGGAAAATCACCATGTTCAATGGTTAAATTCACTATAAATGGCAATGTTCAATAGCTATGTTAAATTACCAGAGGGTATCAGCTTGCTAGTTTGAGAAATTCTGTTGCCACGTCTCGTTGGATTCCCAATCTGTGTTTCGCCAAGTGGACTGCGCGATTGCAGTACCTGATGATGCAGGCCACACGAAAAGTTGGGACCGAGCTTTAGACCCCCACAGCCACAATCTTTGTTATTGGCTGCTGACTGAATAAATGTGATTTTAAGAGGATTTTGCCAAACAACATGGTTTCCCGATGTTTCAGTTGTCCTTGGTTGTCAATTTTGACAATCCAACAATCAGTACATATGTGGAACTGGCTCCACAATTGGATGTGGAGAAAGTGGACCGTTCAACATAGAATATCAAAACATCACAATTTGCTCCCGCTGGCTGGAGCATCCTAATTATCCTAATTCAGTTGTGATGTGCGCAGTTTAGAAGTAAAATGAAGTAAAATCTGGCCCAATCTCGGCTTAGATGACTGGCTTCACAGGAGCATGTTCTGCCACCACCCTGCAGCGCTTCACAAAGTACGTGCGGAAGACCCCGTGGAGCCGAGGGTAAAAAAGCGGAGAAAAATGGGTGTTTTAAAATGGATTCCCAGCATTAGATTATAGTAAGTTTTCCATAAAAAATGGTGATTTCCCATAGTTTTCTGTATTTTTACCAGAGTGTATCCCAAACGATCCCAGTTACTTGATGTTTACCCTCTGGTTATGACTAACATAGCCATGGTTTTTCAATGGCCCTAATCGAAATAGATGGTTTACTGAACTTAAAAATGGTGGATCTTTCCATGGCATTAGATTTAAGCATTCTGGCGATTTGGGATGGCCAAAAAAAATTGTGACATACCGAGCCACTCCCAGTGGTTGAGAATGGTTTTTCAAAGCCAAGTTGGTTACGTGTTGCTACCATCACTTCATACAATGTGGGGCCCCCCAGTGATGTTTGTTGGTTTATAAACCATGAAATAATCCCCATTAACTATTTCGTTATATCTACCATAAACCATAGTTTTTTCAGCCACAAAAATAAACCAACTGAACGCTATCAGTGATGTTAGTTGGTTTATAAACCCCCATAACTATAGTTATTTGCGTACCATAAACCATAGTAAAATTGGAGTTATGTGCACCAACTGAACGCTATCCTGGCCGGGGGCCCCATCAGTTCATAGTTCCATGGTGTTCTACCGCCTACCACAGCCTCGAGGTAGAACTCTTTCGACGCCGTTGTGCGGGTGAACTGCCCACCCCTGCGGCACCTTGGACGAAAGGGCCAAGTCGATCAAAGAAATCCAAGAAGTCGATACCCTCTGGTAATTTAACATAGCTATTGAAAATGGCCATTTATAGTGAGTTTTCCCATTAAAAAAGGTGATTTTCAATAGCTATGTTAAATTACCAGAGGGTATTCGATATGGCTATGGATCAATACCTATTACTGTAATACCATTTTTAGGGGGATGAACATCCATAAATCCCAGCTATTTTGATGTGAACTACAGGGGTACAAGGTTTTGACACACTGCCATATTTGAAAAGAAAAGATGAATAGTTCTCCAAAGTGCATTTGTCTGATTTTTGGAGCCAGATGTTGCTCAGCTGTATTGCAAAGAAAGTGTACGCGCACATGTGTGCTGAAAGGCAAAAGAGGCAGTGGATGTGTATGTGGTTGTTGTTGTGGTTTGTTGTTGTTGTTGCTGCTGTTGCTGTTGCTGTTGTTGCTGTTGTCGTTGTTGCCATTGTTGCTGTTGCCGCCACAGTAGCAGGAATTGCAAAAATAATGCATCATATGTATGATCCCCTGCCACACAAGCCTTAGATTGCAGCGAAAATTGCACTCTAGCAGTTGTGAGGTTTGCATTCCAGTAGCGCAGTGGCTGGGCATGTTGCAACAGCCTCATATGCTCAGGCGTGGTTGCGCCAGCGCTTGGCCGCACACAAGGCCTCACGGGTTGCGACGGAAATGTTCCACCAGTGGACAAAATATTTTTAGAGGATGGGTCAAAATCTATGACATGACATATGATTTCCCCATTTTTTATGACATATTATGACATATTTATGACCATATTTTTCAACATATTATGAATAAATCATAGAATTGGATTTTCCGGAAAATTTGCAGGAAAGACCTATATTTGATGGTAAAAACCCATGGGTTTCCGGTTAAGATTTTCCCTTAAACCAATCCATTGAATAAACATCCATTCACCAGCTATGACTTAGGGCACCATCCGGGTCCGCAGCGCAGCGCTGGATGATCGGTCCAGGACTATGCCGGTGGTTCTGTGGTTCCTCGAGAGCCACCTGGCGCGGCGAATCGGTAAGGTTACAGTCCTGTCATGGAAACATGATACGTATAATTATATATATATACATGTATGATATTATAATATATATATATGTATATGTGTATATATATATACGTATTTATATATATATATGTGGGTTATAATCTTGGTGGAAGATTTTGGTGACTTGGATACTGCCAGTGCCATTGCTTGTACCAGTCTGCTTCGGAACGCTTGGAAAGCCAGACCCCTTTGGTGACACAACCTCCGCTTGCTCGCTTATCAAAACACCCCACTGAGGTTTGTGAAAGACATGGTAGTGCTGGCTGCAAGTCTTTCACAACAGCCGAGGCAAGGTTTGCTACAGAGTGAATGGATATCATATCCCAATGTTTGACCACTGGGCGTTTGGTTGCCCTGCTCGACAGTCTATGTTTGGTTTGCATTCAATCTACCAAAAATACATATCTTGGTTATCTGGTTGGTGGTTTGGAACATTTTTTATTTTCCATATATTGGGAATTTCATCATCCCAACTGACGAACTCCATCATTTTTCGGAGGGGTAGGTATACCACCAACTAGTTACCCTCTGGTTATTTAACATAGCCATGGGAAATGGCCCATTTATAGATGGTTTACGTATTAAAAATGATGGATCTTTCCATGGCAAACTGTTAGTCATAACCAGATGGTATGGTTATTTTTCTTTGCGGCTTCAACTCATCTGCTCCTCCGATGTGTTCCATGTCAATGCGTAAATGACGCCATTTCCAAGAGGGTGATGTTCCACTGGACGCCCCAGGTGAACAGACCCAATACTGAACCAGGCTTTCTACAGGTTAAAAGTAGCCTCTGGTATATTAACATAGACCCTGGCAGTTGTCGGGGTTGGAAGACTAGTTTCCACTATAAATTGGTCATTTTCAGGGTCAACAAGTTAATTTTCCAGAGGGTAAATCATAAACCACCTCTGGAAGAGTTCGGTTTACCAAGAGATATCATCCATGTCTGGCCAAATTGGGGACTGTTGGGTTTACCAAGGTCACCATATTATATAAATTGAGGGATGGATTTACCACCCATTTCTTGGTTCTTATGTGAAATGATACCGGTTTTTTGTTGCTGCTCAATGATTGATGAAGTCCAATTCTCGTTGATTCAATGCTGACAAGAATATGATTCATAATAACAATTGTATCAGAACTATTATAACAATGACAAATTCTGAGAGTATGATTTTTTGGTCTTGGTTCATTGGTTATTGATATGCTGGTTGGTGGTTTGGAACTTGTTTTATTTTCCAGGTCATCTATGGGATGTCATCCTTCCCATTGACTTTCACTCCATCATATTTTTCAAGATGGTTTTTGCACCACCAACCATTATGAGATATACATATATATATATGCCCCCCTGGTAAATTACCCTCGGGTTATTTAACATAGCCATGGAATAGATGGCCCATTTATAGATGGTTTACCTATTGAAAATGGTGATTTTCCATGGCAAACTGTAACAAATAACCAAATGGTATGTTTATTTTCCATTAAAAATTGGTGATTCTCAGGGTCAACAAGTTAATTTACCAGAGGGTAACAGTTGTCCCTGAAAATCACCATCTTTTTTCCATGGGAAACTCGTCCTTCACCAAGCCCGACCTGGCGACAGTATCTGCCCTATCTGCCAGGTCTCCAGCAGCCTCCGCGGCTCTGTCTGAACTGCTGGGTGACCTTGGTGACCTCGCTTAAAAAAAGCATGGCTTATGGCATGGTTACCTGGTTGGTTTCATGGGGATTTCATGGTTGAATATCGGAATATCCATAAATGGTACAATAATGGTACAATGATGATTTGATATTGGAAGCCAATACTATTCTATTCATGGTTCTATTCATGGTTCAATTACTATTGATATTGGGGATTCATGATTATTTCATAATTTCATGGGAATATGATGAGGATATGATGGGGATACGTGGGGATATATGATGGGGACATATCGCCAACTATCTCCAGTTGGGATTTGCCCGAAAATGGGATGGGCCCCTGATGTATATTGCCATTGACCGTGATAAAACCTCTGGTTTTTTCTGTAAAAATAGCCTGTGGAAACAATGGCGATTGCCTTGTGTGACCTCAAAAGGATAAATCTACAATGTGGGGCCCCCTAGATAGCTAAGTTGGTTTATAACTCCAATAACTATGGTTTATGGTACTTATAACTATAGTTATGGGGGTTTATAAACCAACTTATAACTGGGGGCCCCACATTGTACCCACTGAAGCAACTCCTTTCCAAAAAGGGAACCTACCAAAATGGGTACAGCGAAGAGACGCAGTGTCTCAGCACTGAGCCAACAAAATGGTCATAGTTTGCCGGCAAAGCTGGTGGAAGGGTGTTCTTGTTTGACAAATCATGATCAGAATCCCTCCAGAGATACATGATGCATGACATGTTTCGTCCCAGCTCTTTTTCAGGGATTAATTATTTGAGAATTTGCCTCTCACTGTCTATGAAAAAAAAACAAAGATTTGTATGATGTTACACATCCTGATTCACCATTTTTGGCATCCCATGCTCAAAAAGCTGCATTTGTATGGCCTTCCTCGTGTGAAGTCCAACCAACCATGCACTTGGTTTTAGCTGCACGCGTCTCGTTTTCCGCTTTTCTGCAGGAGGTAGCTCCAAGCCATCTCATTGGAGAAAAATCCAATGTGGCCTTGACAACAAAAAAAATGACACATAGGAGTTGATGATTCCGGGCTCAGCCAAAGTTGCCATGTTGAGATGTTGAGATGCGTCTCCTGCACCGATCGCTTGGCCAAAATGAGTTGAGCAGACCGGAATGGGATGATTTCAAACTCATCATAAACAATTTCTGGGTCCATTGGTATCTTCAGATCTTCCCATGTTTTGTTGGTCATATTTAGATAAAAATCATTGAAGAGCACGAAATTCGCTTTTTAATGTCAGAGTTCTTTGTAGCCTGATAATTCTTTGGAGTACATCTGTGTACGTATACTTTGTCATAATTCTTTGTAATCCCCCCATTTGTGGATACCCTGAGGGGTGTCATCAAACACGGTTTGCTGGAGAATCCACCATGGCTAGTTCGATGATTTTCCAGCAGCCACGTTTGATGACAGCGTTTGGGCTACAGCATCCCGTTTCGTCCCATTCCCTTCATGTGGGTTCATCCCCCATGAATCACTGTAGAATCCCGTAAACTCATGTAAACTCACCATCGAAATCCATGAAAGTCCCATTAACTCACCATTAACTCATCATTAACTCACCATTAACGCACCATTAACTCACCATTAACTCACCATTAACTCACCATTAAATCCCATAAATTCCATAAATTCCCATGGAAATCCCATGGAAATCCCATTAAGTCACCATAAAAACCACCATGAAACCACCATAGAAACCCAGCTCCGCTGTCCACCGTCCCCACCGTCCGCCAGAGCCGCACCTCGTTGCGAGTCCCCGGGGTCCCCGGTAGCCCTGGGACGTCGCAAAGTTTCACAGAGGTGCCCTGATCTGAGGAAAAGCGGGGTAGAAAACCAAGCATTCTATGGGGGGAGAACGATGGAGAACATGATATACATAGATAATCATAGATATATATATATATATGGAATATGTGTATATATACATGATATATAATACTTTTAGGGAATATTGAAGGGAATATGAACCGGAGAGAGTGAATCCCTTCCTAATATTAAACACCACCCAAAAAACGACGGTTGAATAGGGGATGTACAGATAATTGGGACTATTTTGGGGGTGCTTAATATTAGGGGCATGGGATTACTCTCCCCAAGAACAGTTCGAACCCGAAAATCGTTCATGTTAGTGGAAACGAATCTTCCAAGCGCAGACTCATGGCAGGGTCCATGATGATTAGAGAGAGGCTACTGTGTTTAAATGGGTGTAATTATAACTCAATATCTAATGAGATAGTCATGGGATCTATAATATCCGGATAAATCATCAATGAAACAGAAATGCTTTCATATGGTCCACCATAAACCGTCTCAACAATGTTGGAGGCGCAGCCTGCCGGTGAAAAAAATGAGGATTTTTCGACTTGGATCGATGAGTGAAAAAACCTATCTGGGTAAATTTGGTCACGACCTCACCGATCTCCCTCACTGAAATGATGTTGTTACTAGTAGTGCGGATAACTGGATAACTATCTCAAAATAGCCGAACATTTCAGGTGAATGAAGTATTATGATATACCCAGAACCTATGATCCCCCAAAAAGGGTAGGTGAACATATCCAGAAAGAAGATGTTCAGGTAGAATGGGGTGCTCAACCAGAAACCAGTCGTGTTTCACCAAATGCAGGTCATGTTAATATCTGTCTATGTTTTTAGTTTCATGTCCTGCAGATATTTGGTTTTTGGTTATTTGGTTATATTACTATTTGGTTGATAGCTTGAGCTGACCCCACCAACTGGGCAATCATTTTCCGGCTTCGCAGGGAGCAACACAGAGGCAAGGAGGGAAAAAATCTGAGACTGGAAGTGTAATTTGTCATGTTGTTTCACATTGCAAAGTTCTAGACACGGCAAAGTCAGTACTTTGGTTACTGGATGTTGCAACTGCCAGATGTGCATTTCAGATTGTACCAGCCAACAAGATCCACCAAGATGTTCCAAAACTATCCCGGCATGTTGCTTGATTTCCCCCCAGCAAACCTTCAGTTCCATTTGCGCTGGGTTGTCAAATTTCCTGTTCGAGATCTCCAAGTTCGCTGGGTGAGAACCTCTCAGTTCTTGGCAGTATCCCATCTATGGAAAAATGGGAGAGTTCCAGAGTCGCCCATGAATCTCAGGCTGCTGGAGACCCAACGGCAGAGTCTTTGGTGGGCCGCCCAACGAATCAACATCGAGGGGACGTGGTGGCCGAGTCCGATTCCAATTGTAGATGTCATATGAGGGTTTCCACAAATGGGGATGCCGGGATACCCCAATAGCTGGATGGTTTACTTCATGGAAAATCCTATCAAAATGAATGATGACTGGGGGTACCCCCATTTCAGGAAACCTCCGTATGATGTCACAACTCTATGGACTCAAGTGTAAGATATGACTATCTCTAGCTGGGATCATGATCACAATCGACTTGATTTTTTTTCAGTTGTTAATACCTTCAACCAATTCACTTCCCAACAATTCAAGACGTTCCGGGTCCATCAATGCATTTTGGCTACAGGCCCCATCATTGCGTGGCTGCTCCAATCCGTTTGTCGACAGGTCATATCCCCATGTCAATCCCAATAACTGAGGTTTAAGTTACATTCTGGGTAAATTATCACGACCGAACCCTGTTCTCCCTCACTGGAATCATGGTTAGGATTCGGGAAATCATCCCCTTTTATGGCCGCAAGATTCAGGTGAGTGAAATATTATTTCATTTACCCACATTCTATTTTCAGGATCAATGAATCAATTCAGCCATTAAAAAACACATTCATAGCCTTGATGTCTCCATTTCAATTCCCTTTTTTTTGGCCGTTCGAAATCCTCTAACCCGACTCGTCTCAGGCAACGAATGCGTCGCTCCTTCAACTCCTTTGCTCCGCGCCGGGCGGCCCATACAATGCCGATGGATTCATGAAGCAAACATAACTGGTGACCACCTTGTCGGATTTTGGTGTATAACTTGGGAAAGATTAGGATAGACAGCCAAGCTAAATTAATTTTTGTTGGGGTGCAAAAAAAGTCATGATTTTCGAGCGGAGAGATTTAGGGTTCAGTGGTACACAATCATTGGTCGCCCATGGGATTGATCCTAAATATCGAAATCTTCAGGGCCCTAAGGGCACCCAAGAGTCACCAGCTGAGATTTTTAAGGGCGTTATGAAACATCGCTCCACTCCAGGGTGTCATGTTGAAATTCTGGTTTCAGAAGTTCCTAAATTTCCAGGGTGTACAAGGTTGGCTTCATCTTCAGTACTTTAAAATGTGGGAAACAGTCACCTTGTCCAACTTGCCAGCACCCAACTTGGAATTTCTAGGGGCGATCCTAGGGGCTGACTTGGCGATGGCATATGGGGTTGTTCAATGGACAAGATGATTTGCGAAGGCAAAGGCTCAGAATTTGAACACAACAGAACGCGAGCAGGGACACGCTGTGAAAATAGTGGAAAAGTTATAGATAGTGGAGCATTGTTACGCCAGAAAGTCAAAACACTTGCCAATATGTGCCAATAGTTTTATCGCCAAAGAACAAATACGCATGCTTCTCTGCAGACAGGACCAATCGAAAATTGAGAGCCACCCAGCAATGGATCAGTGAGAGTTGCCTCATGGGCCTTTTCGATTTGGAGAACTTTCAGGCGGGGCTGTGGGGAGATCTAACACTTCGCGACAGGCATGCGTGTTTTTGTGCCACTTTTCAATGCCACTTAGCGAATACCTGCGATACGGATCAACTTGCTCATCCATGTTATTCCATGTTTATACGATTTTTACGGCTCTCAAACATGCGTTATTTCGCGAAGTGCGCGAACCGTTGCGACAGGATGCGCCAGCATCACGACCAGTGCTGAGCAAGGCCGCTGGGGATGGTATGGGATGACCACAGGGTCCCTGAGTCTCTCCATTGCTGGCACCATCAGCATATCCCAGAAATTCCCAGTGAATCCCATAAAATCACCATGTTTCATCCCCTTGCATCACCATGAAAAGCACGTCATTTATCAACCACTGAGGCGCCTTTGAACTGGTCAGCAGCCGCGAGGCGAGCCCCAAGTCATGGTACCCCCTTGTATCATCCAGTCGTCGATGACCATGACAAAACGTATTGAAAGCTATGGTGACGACTGGGGATTTCCTATGTTTGCATACTGCCTGGGATATGGGATACTGATCGAAATGGACTGATTTCTTTGGAAGCAGTTGAAACTGCTAATCACATGCAGCCCGTTGGCCGATTGAACATGTTTAAAACATGCCCTGTGAGGGGCCCATGATTTGGATGTGAAGCTCAAGACCAAAATGGTGAGAAGGTCAGTGTTCACCAGGATATGTTATGGAGTTTGATCCATGGCTCATATGGCTCGAAAATCAGAAATGAGGTAGGCGGGTTCCAGCAGATCAATCTTTGAGTCCCTTTTTCACAGTGAAGTTCTCTTTGTTCCCAAATGCACTCCAGTGGGATCGAAACGTGCTGCAGTATCATCATTCATACTCATTCGCAACAAGTAAGATAAGTCAGATCCCAAGAAACTACTGAAAGTTTGATCAAAGTTTGATCAAAGTTTGATCAAAGTTTGATCCTTCGTCAAAACCAGGCGAAGCCATAGCTGCCATAGCTCTTCAGATTCTTCTTCACCAGATCTCCCCAGGACAGCAGGACCAGAGACAGGGAAGTCCGCGTCCGCTGCAGGTCGGAAGTCGAGATGTTTTTTTGCGGCGCATTGTCTCATGGGAGACCCCAAACAATAAGAAGTTCATGCATAAGGTGATAAACATTGATAAACCATCCATTTGTCGATTCCAGATTTGAGGTGGCACCTCGTTTGGAAGCGAATAAACAAGACAGTTTGGAGGCTTACGTGGATTCAAAGATCATGTACAACTTGAGATGTCTGTGCTTTCAGATACCAGGAAAGTCTCCCAATACTGGCTTGAATGGGACTGGGACCAACAGTCTTAACCAAATCACTCCTGGGACACCACCCACAGGTGATTCAAGAGCTCCAGCTGCGCAGCAGAAACAGGTGCCATCGCCCACCCATTTTCTAGCAGCTGACTCCGGTCAAAAAAAATGGCACCGATGGATCCAAAAAAAATGGGTCGTTTTCAGCAATCATCCAGATTTTTTTATCCGTGATGATATGGATTCCAACATATTCCAACTATCCACTGGTAGCCATTAAATGCCATTAAACCAGGCCGATGAGGGGCCCAAGATTCCCTTCATCTTCGGTGAGTGTTTGTCAGACAGCCCAGTGCCCATATCCAGGCTTGAGTTGTCGCCGATGGATTGAAAAGACAAAAAAAATTGAGCTGTGCTCAAAGCCCCTTTTGGTTGATTATTCTAGCAGTTTATAATCAACACATATATATATATAATTATATTATATATATATATTATATTATATATATATATTATATTATATACATATATATTATATATTATATATTATATGTTTTATATTATATTTATATATATATATATATATTATATTATATATATATTATATATATTATATATATTATATATTATATATATTATATATTATATATGTTATATATATTATATTATATATATATATTATATTATATATATTTTTTATATATATATTATATATTATATATTATATTATATATTATATATTATAAAATATATATTATGTATTATATATTATATATTATATATTATATATAAATTATATTATATATATTATATATATATTATATATTATATATTATATATATATTATATTATATATATATTATATTATATATATTATATATATTATATTATATTATATATATTATATTATATTATATATATATATATTATTTATATTATATATATATATTATATATATATAAAATATATTATATATATAATATATATATATAATATAATATATAATATAATAATATAATATATATTATATTATATATATATATATTATATATATAATATATATATATTATATATATATTATATTATATATTATATATATTATATTATATATATTATATATATATATATTATATATATATATATTCCCAATTTACCGCGAGTTTCAAAACATTGCTCATCATACTCGAAGTCGCAACTTTTCCCATCCCTCTGCTGTGACTTTCCCATCCCAACTTGGATCGTTGCCCCAGGTTACAACCGCGCCAGCGGAGCTCCAAGAACCAGTCCCAGTTCGTTCTGCACAACGGGGAGGAACTGGGAACCTGGCAGGATCAAATGGGAAGGGGATTTCATCGGATATCCCCAACGAAACGAAACGACCAAACCTGTTTTTGTCAGTGGGTCTGGGTTCCAATTGTTTTTTTAAACCCATACCAATCCATCCCCTGTTGTGGAAGCATTTGAGGGGTCCACCCTTGGAGCTTCCTGCAGCTGACTCAAAACAGAGGATGGTCAAGAGACAAGGTAAGAGATCTGAACGTTCCAGGGGTAGGTAAGCAGTTATGATTAGTACTGATTTAAGGTCAAGGGAACCCCATTGTTCTTTGTCTTTTCGAGTCTCAGTGATCCAATTGTTGGTGGCACCCAAACTCTGAAAAAATACCTGTTTGTAAACCTCAGGTCCAAGTGGGCTGAGGATCGTTTGTCCGCCCTTCATCAACCTAAGTCAAGGTTTGGAGGTTGAGTTGTTCGGCATTTTTGAGGAAAATCTCACTGCCATCACAAGAATCAAGATCTTCAAGCCATGAAAATCCTGGAAGTTGCAGGAAGTCGTGTGCTTCACCTCCTGAAGGCGGCTAGAAAGAGGCTTCACCAGCGAAAAGAGAACAGCAGCTGTCCGTCACGGAAATGCATTGGTTGGATTCCAGCAAAACAATCACAGCTGGCTCATACCAAGACCCAATTTCTTTGACCATTTTCATAGTTGAACAGTTCTGTCCACAAGTTGCTACCCTGAAGGAGACTTGTTTGTAGCTTCTTTGTATCTTCATTGGTTGGATTCCATCCCTTACACCCTGGTGAGAACATCCCCAAAATGAATCCTGTGTGTCTATGTTGGGATGCTCATGAAACCCAATTCGAGGATCATTTGCCTATTGACCCAGAGCCATGTCCCACTGTAAATTGCTGGCAAAATTTCGGGAGTATCCCATTGATTGGCTAGAATATGATATACTACAATGTGGGGCCCCCCAGTGATGTGAACGTTGGTTTATAAACCCCCATAACTATAGTTATTTGCGTACCCTCTGGTAAACATACAAAAAGCTATTGAAAATGGCCATAGAAATAGTGGATTGACCCATGAAACATGGTGATTTTCCATAGTTTGCTGTATGTTTACCAGAGGGTACCATAAACCCATAGTTATTGGAGTTATAAACCATGAAATAATCCCCATTAACTATAGTTATATCTACCATAAACCCATCGTTTTCAATGGTGTCCCGGACAGCTTCATCCACGGATGATGAAAATAACTTCCGCCAACGTTCGCCATTGGACCGAGGCGATTCCGAGGCCACTTCGAGGGACTTGGATTTGAAGCCTAAAAATATGGCCCCCTTAAAATTATCCTTGTGTAATTTTCATGTCAAAAAAAGATAGAGAATCTCACGAAACCCCTAATGGTGGTCGGAAAAAAAAAAGGATCAGGCGATTGAGCCTCCAAAGTTGAAACTTGAAGGTGTTCTCCCCAGTGGCGCGACGTTTCAACGAGATCTGTACTCAGGGTGAGAAGGAATCATGGATCGGATGGATCCAAATGAATATCGCTTCTGGATGTCATTATCTGAAGAATCCCTGGGACTGGATACCTGTCGCTGCTTTTTATTCAAACTCTTAGGTAGAAACGGCTGGCTTTGGTCACTGAAAAGGCGCTACGGCATGATTCCCTATGGCAGGTCAACTTCAGCCCTGAACTCGAGGCAGAGGTGGGGTACACAGCACAGATGCATGCAGCTCAAAGTGTCTAAAGTCTAAAGCATGAAAGTGGCATTCCCCTTAAAAGATGATTTGACATCTACATATATAGTGACGGACTGAAACTTAGAATGCCGCACCCCTTCAGGTCGCGCTGTCCTAAAGAATGCCGCCGCGGGGGCAAAATCTTAAAAAACCCTGGTAAAATGCAATTTTCGGGTTGCAGCAATTTGACCTGGTCTTTTTGTAATGAGTCGTTCGTAGGTAAATTTTGTGAGAATTTACAGCATAATATGAGATTGAGTGCCACACATAGAATGCCTCCGGCCAAAAAGTCCAGGTCACAGCATGTCAAACATTTGAAGCCCATATTTTCAAAATACTCGGTATACGTGGGGTTTTATGTACTTTGTGCAGCCCACATAGAATGCCGCCAAAAACATATACAAATGTCATCATTCTGTTGCAAAATCTCTGTTTTTTTTGTGAAACACATGGTTTGAAGGATTGTATAAATTTACTATTTCATATGAATAATTGTATATAAATCCAATCTCATGGGAGGTATCCTTTCCTTTTTCCTTTCCTTTTTCCTTTCCTTTTTCCTTCCCCCTTTCCTTTCTCCTTTCTTTTCCCCTTTCTTTTCTCCTTTCCTTTCTCCTTTCTTTTCCCCTTTCCTTTCTCCTTTCCTTTCTCCTTTCCTTTCTCCTTTCCTTTCTCCTTTCCTTTCCCCTTTCCTTTCCCCTTTCCTTTCCCCTTTCCTTTCTCCTTTCCTTTCTCCTTTCCTTTCTCCTTTCCTTTCTCCTTTCCTTTCTCCTTTCCTTTCTCCCTTCCTTTCTCCTTTCCTTTTTCCGTTCCTTTCTCCTTTCCTTTCTCCTTTCCTTTCTCCTTTCCTTTCTCCTTTCCTTTCTCCTTTCCTTTCTCCTTTCCTTTCTCCTTTCTTTTCTCCTTTCCTTTCTCCTTTCTTTTCTCCTTTCCTTTCTCCTTTCCTTTCTCCTTTCCTTTCTCCTTTCCTTTCTCCTTTCCTTTCTCCTTTCCTTTCTCCTTTCCTTTCAACCAGACGGTTTTACACTTAGAATGCTGCCAAAAATGTTACACATAGAATGCGTCCACGGGTTTTGGGTGCATGGGTTGTATGATTTTTGCTGATTTCCACATGAACTATGCTTTCCTTGACGATTTTTGTCCCTCCCGGCTGCATTTGTAACACTTAGAATGCCACACCAATCCTTTCATCTTTCCTTTCCTCTTTCCTTTCCTTTTTCCTTTCCTTCTTCCTTTCCTTTTTCCTTTCCTTTTTCCTTTCCCTTTTCCTTTCCTTTTTGCTTTCCTTTTTCCTTTCCTTTTTCCTTTCCTTTTTCCTTTTTCCTTTCCTTTTTCCTTTCCTTTTCCCTTTCCTTTTTCCTTTCCTTTTTCCTTTCCTTGTTCCTTTCCTTTCTCCTTTCCTTTTTCCTTTTCTTTTTCCTTTCCTTTCTCCTTTCCTTTCTCCTTTCCTTTCTCCTTTCCTTTCTCCTTTCCTTTCTCCTGAAACTCACAAATGCGATTTAGGGGACAACAACTAGCATATTCACACCAGAACAGGGGATTATATAATAAATTTTATATACCATCAAGAGTTTAAGTCTATATCTCTAATAGCAACGGACTGATACTTAGAATGCCTTGGACCAAAAAAATATTGAAAGGGTCTCCAGATATGGCGATAATCATGCGCACTTAGAATGCCTCATAAAGTCCAGCTCGCAGGTTTGAATGTTTTAGCGATGGAGGCATTCTAAGTGAGGCCAAAAAAAAGGCATTCTAAGTGGCACCGTTAAAAAAAATGAGAAACATGGCGGCATTCTAAGTTTCAGTCCGTCACTATATATATATAGATAGATAGATAATATATATATATACATAATTTGCTGCAAATAATATGTTTAAAAGGCATGCCACTTTTTAAAGGGTTGGTGCCGCATACCATGATTTGACCTTCGAGGTGCGACGGACCTTTCCATCGCCAACTTCCCTTCGTGCGGCAGCCAGTTCTACCGACCCCCAGTTGGATCATGGAATTTCCCCACTGGATATGGCATGAACTATGGATGAATGGGATGAAAGAATGGTTAGATAAATGATGGTTTTCATGGATTATAAACCAAGGATCCGATTCGTACATCTAAGTATGCACATCCAAGTATCCAGTAGTTTTTGATGCGCCGTGGATTGACAGTCTCTTTCCTGTCCAAGGAGGTCGCAATACGTTGGTGGGGCGGCCTGGAGTGGTATCAGTTGGCAAAGTCGAGTCCCTTTTATGGCAGTTGCTCAAGTCCACTTGGGAATTTCATGAGTAGACGGTGAGACGGGGAAAGCAAGATCTTGATGGATATGGCATGATCAAGATATATATATATATATACATACAAATATATATATATATATATATATGTGTGTCTAGATTATATCATGAAATATGATGTATCATGATCATGGATAGTGTTTTCTAGAGCCTCCATGGCGTGCCATCGTTTTGACGCCTGTTTTTTGTTACATTGTTTGAAACGCGAATCATCCCACCGCCAGGACGGTGGCTCCCAGGCGAGGGGCACCTGCCATGCAATACTGGTTTATATGTATGACAATGTTGAAAGGGGAAAAACAATGGCTAAACATTGGTTAAATAATGGTTTATAATGGTTTATAATGGTTTATAATGACCATGTACCCTCTGGCAATTTAACATAGCTATGGAAAATTACCAATTCGTAGATCATTTGCCTATTAAAAATGGTGATTTTCCATAGCTATGTTAAATTACCAGAGGGTACTGGTTGGTGGTTTCAAACATGAATGGATTATTTTCCATTTCATATATGGGATGTCATCCGAAACCCATTGACGAACTCCATCATTTTTCAAGATGGTTGAAACCACCCACCAGTATATTCATCTACACGTATGTATAGATAGATACATAAGATAAGATCCGATGAGACAAAGAGACAAACAAAGAGAGAGAGACGGACGATACGGACAGACAGACGGACATCTCCAATATCCTCCAGTAAATGAACAGTTCGACCCTGCCAGTCATCGGGGTTGGAAGACTAGTGAAACCATTAAGCATTTGTTCTTGTCAGGGTCTATGTTAATTTACCAGATGGTAATCCACTCATGAAAAATCCCATGATCTTCCATTGCTTGGATCACCAATACACCGATTCGCCGCCGTCACCAGGTGGACCGCTATGGTGGAAACGAGGCAGCTTCCATAGAGGCGGGTCGATCAAACAGCGGGTCTTACCATGGCCGAAATCCATTCAGATTTCCAGGAGATTTAGCCTCTGGTGATCAAACATGCTGCGAAATCCCCGAACGAAATGAACATTTGAAAATATTCGAACTGAATGGTGAATCTTCCAGCAAGACATGTTGGTTTACCGTAGGGGTACATGAGATTTATGTGATGTTTATATACGAATTCTATGTATCAACTTAGGGCGCCAAAGGGAAAACACTAGGTCCATGATTTTGGAAAGGAACCAGCTTTCCCCAAAGCCTAGGTGAGAAATCTTAGAGGTAGTCTTTCACGCATCCCAAATTCTTTGGACATTGTAGCTGCAAACTCAAAGGGTTACCAATTTTACTAATTTTACAATCTATTTTGGATTTTTTTTTGAGATCCCAACTTCCAAACATTGACAATCCACGTGCCTTCCATGCTACGACTGTTCTGAGCAAGTGTGTGTGTGTGTGGAGCCTTTGTTTCAACCGATGAGTCGACGTATTTGCCATTGCAACTTGTTGTTGATCCCATAGGGTTGGTTACGCCGGTCCCGCATCTGGCTGTTCAAAGGTTTCTTTCCATTGAGAATCATGAGATGATACCAACGGTTTTTGTACATTCTGGGTAGTCTGAATTTATGTACCCGCGTGCCGATGAATCACCATGTTCCTTCTTGAACAATGGCTTGTTGGTGGGTTAAATCCACCATGTTCAGACACATTTATATCATTATTTCCGGGGGTGTCAGTGGTTTTCATGCCATGTTTTTTTCAGGCCTTTTTGAAAGGCCGTTGAATAGGGAAAATGCTGATATCAAATTGGAGGTACCAAAACCGCCAGGATATGCACGCAGTGAACGATCCAGCGGCCGACACCGCAGCCAACTTCATGGGGCGGGAGGCCAAATGCCCCTTTTTGGGGGAAAATATGATGAGCCAATGGATTTACCCTCTGGTAAACTATGGTAAACTAACATAGCTTTGAAAAATCACCATCTTTAAGAACGGTAAATCAACTATTTCTATGGGCAATTTGAAAAATAACTATGTAACAGATTACCAGAGGGTAGCGGGGGTGACTCTTAGCAAAGCAAGTTGTTGCATGGTAAAAATGGAGTATGCACAAGTTTTTTTCAAGCTTTTGACAAGACAAGGAGAGGTTTCCATGAAATGGTCCTCTTCACACATTCTGGGGAGTGTGTTTTACGTTTCTAGGAGAAACCAAGAAACTGTTGAGGTTCTTATTGCGTGTTTTGAGGGCTGGGCCCCGGAAAGAGGGTAACATGTAGGACTGCTTTCAAAGTCAGTCTGAAGAGACCGTGCCCTCATATCAACAGACAACTTCAAGTGGGGTTATGATACAGTATCACTTTCTGTCCATTAGACTATCAACGGATTAATGTAAGGGCAATGTTGCAACTGTGAATTCACCATCAAATTTTGAGGGTCCTCTCGGTTTTTGCTCGCCTCGCAGCATCTCTGGAACCAGCCCCGGTGCGGCAGGCACCGCGAAATGTGTCACAACGAAAGAGCATGCTGCCAGGCAGCGGAACCTGGTGAGATACAATCGACCAGCCTCATTTGAATCTAGGGAAGCTAAAATTTGACATGATGACAAGATGATTACATAGTGATTACCGAATGATGAAAAATAATGAACACATGGAAGAGGAGGGCTGTCAACTGCCATAGAATCCTCAAGCGGAGGTGGCTGCGGTAAGCCCATGATCCCCGACCCCATTTCAGACATGGATGGTATAAACCACACCAACCAGACCATTTTGCTCATGGCATCCACAGGTCAAAGACCCTGGCATTTCTGGCACGTTGCCGAAGCCCGTTGACACCGAGCCGTGGATCATGCTAGGGTCTACTGAGTCTACTGCTGCACTCATCCATGGGAATCAACGACAATTCCAAGCAGTTCTGGGTACGACAACCCATACTCTTGGACTAGTGACTAGTTGTATGTATCATGCACATTCACAGGAGACTTTTTCGCACAAGCACCACCAAGTCATAAATGGAAACCATCACCCAACTAACGCTCACCAGACCCTGCCAGGAATGCCTTTAAAAGGGGCACGCAGATCATCGTCCTGTTGCCCGAGTCTCAGGGAGATCGCGAGAGACGCTACAAGTGAAGGATCATAATTCGATAGTCGGAAAGCTTTGGTTTCTAGATTTAAGATGGATACAGTACTCAAAATGAAATGCGGATTTGTGCGTGGTGTATCACAGAGTGAACTGCCACATGTCTGCGTTTTGAGTCAATGAAATTACTCACACAGTCGGTCCGGTAGGATTCACAGAAACTTTCAGCAAAAAACTGGAAGATCCAACCATATCTGGTTGGTGGTTTGGACCATTTTTTATTTTTCCATATATTGGGAATTTCATCATCCCAACTGACTTTCACTCATATTTTTCAGAGGGGTTGGCTCAACCACCAACCAGATCACCAATATATCACCATACCTATATTAACCATATATATATTAACCATAATATTACCATCTAAATATACCCACCATTATATCACCATATATATTCACCAACCAGATATCCAACCTGCGTTTTTTTCCGGCATTCAATTCATCAATTCATCGCCAGCTGTCCCAGGTGGAGCCTCAGTGTCATTTGGGCCTTGGTGAAGTCGGTGCTCAACACTTGTTGCAGCCTGAGAACTCGGTCGACTCGATTCGAACTGTGCACTTGGAGTAGTTCAGGTTCTTAGAGGATATCAATAACATGATATAACCCATAGGATCCATGGTGCTGGTATATATGCTAACATTGGGGGTATATTGATGGGATCCATGTTACCATATATAGCAGCACCATGGATCCTATGGGTAATATGATATAACCAGAGTTGTCGCCTTTTTTTTCTCACTTTTTGGGGGGTTTTCGAAGTCCATTTTTTACAGCAGCCCAGCTGCGCAGACGATGCCTGGAAATCCGAAAAGGAGGCAGCGCTGCGAGTTGGGCGCCCAGTTGTCGAAGCCGTCAGCTGTCGAAGCGCTTGGCGCTTGGAGATTTGTATGGAGGGATGGTGCATGATGGTGCCTTGAAATGCCGTGAAATAATCATGAAATGCCATGAAAATGGTGCTTCTAATATGCTTATTATGCTTCAAGGTTTCATGACTTCATTAAAATGAGATGCCTGACTATCAAATGGGCCTTTTTCTGTCACGGAAAATGGGGTCTCCTGTTTCGATACCAAAATGGTGGAGTTTCTAAGGGTATCCTGTGCAGTCCAAGGAAATGCGGGGTCACGCAAGAGTAGCCAGTCAAGTGGGGATGAAAGACGAAGTAGCTTTATTTTACAGGCCACAATGGCACCAAACACTTGCTTTGATGGGAAAGAAGTTATTGAGCCACAACTTTTTGATTGGAAGCCCAAGAGCTACTGTCTCCATTATTTCCATTGGGAATCCATTACCATCTGGTTATTTAACATAGCCATGGAAAATCACCATTTTTAATAGGTAGACCATCTATAAATGGGTCATTTTCCATGGCAAACTGTTAAATAACCAGAGGGTATTGCCACTATTTTCCATTGGGAAAGACATTTGCACTGCAGCTCAGGACGCCCCCCAACACATTGTCGAGCTGCCGCACTTCTTCACACCGAGCCTTTGCGCAGGCAGAGACTGGCACGTATACCCTCCGGTAAACGTTTACGTTTTGCTATAGGAAATCACCATGGTTAAAAGGTAAATCATCATAAATCATCTATACATGGGGTAAATCATCAAAAATCATCTATACATGAGGGGTAGATCATCATTTTTATGATCTATAAATGGGCCATTTTCCATAGCTACCATAGATCTACTGTAAGATAACTGGAGGGTATGCACTGCCATTTGCAGGAGCTTCCTGTTTCTGGATTTGCAGGTCTGCAGGACGAGCTGCAAAGAAGTTCGCACGTTCTGCCGCCCCTTGATCCCATGCTGCGGTTTTTTTGCCCTGTCACCCAAGGAAGACAGCCTCAGCGCAGAAAACATGGAAAACCTGTTTCATGATGTTCAAATCCAAATGACCCATTTTTTCCAGAAAGAAACGTAGTTTCACATATCGTTTCACATAGTCCACGATATATTTGAAGAATATTTGATGAACATTTGATGTTTTTTTTTGTTTCCCCTATTTTTGTTAGTGAGAAATTCCCCTTTCCGGTCCAAGGTGGAGCTCATGGACGCAGGCCAAAAATCCGACAAAAACATCGGGGGGTTGCCAGCAGAGGTTGTTTTTTGGGGCCTGGGGACATGGAATGCGATTGATGTAATATGATCTGGGTAAGTTACAACTCAGGTTAGTGAAATATTATAATTTACCCAGATATGATGTAGTTGAATTGCGATTTTGGTTGCAATCTGCCGAAGATCATGAAATATCTGGTTTCATGTTATTTGGTGAATACATTGCCGGCCATGGGAAACTGAAGAAAGAAGGAAAATCGATCCATGAAAACAGGGGCTCAGATTGGACAGTGATGAAGCAGAAATAGGTGCCACATAGGAAGCACAGGAAGTATCCCACAACCATTGGGTCGTCATCACACCATGGCAATTGTTGTTGGATGGTTGTTTCGATGGAGTTCATGGATATCCATTGGCTGCCATTCTAATACCATGATGGGATGATGAGTCATCTTCTTAGTTTTTAATCGGAGTGGATGAGGATGATTAGGATGATGAGTTATCTTCATCGGAGTGGATGAAGACGTATCAAATTTCAATCCGAGTTCTTTGAAGAACAACAACAGGATTGCAGTTGGACCAGCACCTGGGAACCTGGTTTTGCCCAGTTTCATGGGATGACCAGGCCAAGTTTGAGTCGCCAGTGCTGGATGCTGGCTGTGGGTGGTAGGGGTCCTCAATGGCCGTCTCCACACTGAAAGCTTCACAGCTAGCTGCTTAGTTTGTCCACGTCTAAATGGTGAAGTAGTTCCACGAAGCAAAATGCCAAGATGTTGAGCCGAATCTTTTGGTGAATGCTGCTTTGCCGAGATGCAATTCTAGTTCTCTGTTCCTACTGGTTGATGGTCGCACTTTGCATATATTCTGGAGTTTGCGTTGGTACATGTCATCATTATCCCCTTGGTCGCTGTCATACCTACCTCATCCAACCTCGATACTGCAAAGGGATTAATTTTGCAGACACAGAGATGTACGTACCGTATATCTATACATCTTAACAGACCATCTGCGAGTGGTCATTTTGGCTCCATAGTGGGTCTTTCGGCGAAGTTTCAACGCTGCTGAGGGATACAGCCGAAGATGTGAGCCTCACAGTGGGGCGCCCAATCGTCCGATCGTCGTAGTTTCATGGGATGGAGAAAAATCTCGCAGCACCTGGCATCGCTAAAGCAGTCCGCAACGATTCGGATATGGGTCACAAGTATCAGTTAGTATCAGTTTTTCACTAGCAGATTGTTGTCATTTTACTGTCATGTTCAATACTAATCGCCATATTGTGTTCAATTCTTGTTCTCTTTCTTCTCATGGCTTTGTTCAATGGTTTGCCCATGGCCAGAATTTTTGGGGGATGAGCCGATTGAAGCCTCGCTTCAGTGCGATGCGACTTCCTGCACGGCCGCGCTGCTGCAGAGAGGTGAGGATTTCTGGATTTCTGGATGGGATGACGCCCCATGAAAAGTGCGGCATGTTTTTTTCCAAAAGTGAGGATATGGCTATGGATCAATAATGATCAATACCTACAAGATCCTACAAGTACGCGTTTTTAGGGCGATGAACATCCAGTTACCAGCTATTTCATGGAAAACCAGAGGTACATGGTTTCGACCCAGTTGGCCGTATAGAGAGGAAATGACCTTGACATATGTCAGGATCAAGGAGTGAGCACCGTTGTGATTCTGCTCATCTGCCATTTGGATCCAGCGGTTCCCAGTTCAGGTGGTCGCAACGTGACCTTGTGCACTGCGATCCCAAGGTGCAGGGGACATATCTGGTGTTTGCCTGAGAGGGTCGAGAATTTCGTTGCTTTTGCCAATCAGGCTGGATATGAAAGGGTGGCTTTCTCTTTGATTTCCCCAAAAACATCACTGCAATTTCAATCATGAGCCAGCCGCTGTAAGAGGCTGTATAACCTGCTAGTTGTTAACCGGGTCAACCGGGGGTTTGCAGGGGCCACATCCAACACTTGCCGTTGCTGCAGGGGCGGCCAGTTGACCTTGACTCCGCTGCTTTCATGGACACTGACGTCCGGAGACCGATCAGAGAGATACGTCAGATACGACGTGGGGCAAATGCCCCGAGGCTTTGCACATGGGGAATTCGAAAGCACATTCACAAAGATGGATGATTCTTAGGGATTTTGACGAAGTAAGTGCAGGAATTGAGGATTGGGACCCCAAACCAACCTACCTCATGTTTACATGAGTGCTGTTGCAAACGCCGAATTTTGTCCTTTTGCTCCAGCTTGAAGCTGATAGCCATTGTATCAAGACACAGGTGAAGCTTAAGACTTGTTAATTTTGATGCTTGCCAAACATTATATTCAAATATCATCATTCACTTTCAGATGTAAGCCAAAGTAGCTTTCAAGTGTTCTTTTCTTTGGCTTGGAAACCAGAGCCGACATCTGAACAAAGTTGCGCAAACATCTTGGCAGCCCGACTCCACGACGTTCTCTTTTGGCCTAGAAGTCACTTGTCGTCACGAACTATATGCCATTTATATGCCATTTATTATGGTTGGTTTTCTTTCCAATGGCAATATCTATCCCAAAACGATGGAAAAAAAGCCAGTCCAAGCATGTTTTCAGGCGCCATGAGCTTGTTCATACCACGTCCAACAGCTTCCAAGCCACAACTGATCCGCTACCAACAGCCCAGCCTTGGGGCTGGCTCATGCCGTCGTCTCGACTGAGAGGAAACGGATGGGGATGGGGATCACCAGGAAGCGATCACAGGTTGTACCTGAAATTGGCAGAAATTTTGGTGGTATTTTCAAGAGAACATACAGGACTAGATATGGGTATGGATCAATACCTATTAATACCATTTTTAGGGGGTTATTCACATCCATAAATCCCAGCTATTTTGATGTTCACCAGGGGTACAAGGTTTTGACACACTGCCATATGTCATGATATGTCATGTGTTTTGTTCTTGTCATGGTTGTAGACTCCCCTGGATGACGGGATGAACAACATAGCCGCCAATCTGCCACAGAAAATATGGCCTGGATGGCTCAAAGGAGGAAATGACCCAACAAAACGATGAGCAGCTTGAAACTGATAAAACTGATCTCTCACAGCCATGGCAATCATTTCTTCAAGCCCCTCTGACACTGGTGCCGAGGACTCCAGTTGCTGTCGTTGAGCCTCGCTCTGACATTTGTCCCTCGGTCGATCTTGGCTTTGACCCTGGGCCTCAAGGGCTTTTGCAGATCAGCCCTGGAGGAGTTGGGAACCTTGAGAGTTCATCCTGAATTCTAGATGGGAATGTGTGGCTCAGTGCCTTGTGTCAAGAAAACTTTCCGCCCATACGAATGTTTCGGAACCATACGAAAATCAACCTATGGTACTCAGGTACCATCTTTGCGTACGGGACGACCCAAGCCCAATGTGCAGCACCATGCAGCCTTGTGGGACTGAGGGAAGCGGTTGGTGTTCTGTCTTTGCTCAATATGTTGTTTGTCTTGTGTCATTGGACTCGTTGTTTTTTGGGTGGCTTGAAACCATATAACGGAAAGTCTTAAGTTTGGTGCCAACCTTCTAAATCCTATGTGCTGAAAAGCACTGCATTTGATACTATCGTTCTGCACTTGCAATCGTGCTGGCTCTTGGGGGGCCAACTGGCATTATTGTTGCGACTATGGCCGTCGTCCTCATCATCATCATCATCATCATCATCATCATCATCAAACGCATTTCCCCGCAGAATTTCCACATGTCTTCCCTTCCAACTACAGTGTTGCCCTCTTGGTGCAGGACCAGTTTCTTCCAAAAGACCCTGTGGATGTTCCGCTGAATGCTTCGGCGTTGTCCAACCGCCTGCAGGACCCTTGGATGGTAAGAAGCGACACGACTATAAGAAGTATTCGTCGCAGGGGGAGATCACGAAACAGATCGGTCTATCTTTCATCAGTTTTGTGTTACCCTCTGGTGAACTAACATAGCAATGGAAAATCACCATTCTTAATGGGAAAATCCACTATAAATAGCCATTTTCCATTGCTATGTTAGTCATAACCAGAGGGTACTTTTTTTGTTGCCACATTGGATTGAAAGGTATTTTTAGTCCCGTAATCTCCAAAGAGATGGTAAAGTATTTTACTAACTTCAATCCCCAAGTACTTTACCAACTTCTATCTTTTCATCCCCAATTAAATGGGATATCTTCCAACTTAAATGGGATATCTTCCAACTTAAATGGGATTTTACCAACTTCTATCTTTTTGGGGATTCCGTAAAAAAGGACGTGATCTTCACCGTGGTGGAGAAGGGATTGCCGCAGGTGGAATCTCGGTGAAAAAAGCCGGGAAAAGGTACCCTCAGCAGGGAAACAATTGGATTTAAACAGATGGGGATGGGTCAAAACCCTGGTACCTAGTGAACCCCAAAATAGCTGGTAAATGGATGTTGCTCCCACTAAAAATGTATCTATAGGTATTGACCCATACCCATATGGTGGTTTCCTAAGTCCTGGGGGTACCCCTAGATGATCCATTTTTGGGTGGATTTTCCACTATGAATCATCTATTTTAAGGGGTACCCATATGAATGGAAACCTCCATATGTGAATGAAGAAGAATATGGGAGAAGATCGGATTGATCTTTACCAGACATATGGGAACTGGAAAGAAATACATCATCTATCTTGGTTTTAAAGCAGCAAGGATAGGGGAGGACGGGGGATGTTGGAAACAAGAGTAAGGGGTCATGTTGCATTTGATACATACAAAGTTGCATACTTATGGGGCACGAATGGGCCCACAATCCTAATTAGACTTGAAGCTTGGCGCCGCAATGATCATTGTCATTGTTGGGGCAGAGCACTTGGATTGAAAGTTCCTTGAATGGTTCGAGCGTAAAGGACATAACCAGTTAGTGCCATGTGTACCCACATATCCATCCCTTGAAATTTTGGAGTCCCCAAACCTGCTGTGTGACCGGAAGTGCTGCCCCAAAAGCTTCCAAGGACATCGATCTGCCTCCAGGGCTCATCCTTGGGGTGGAAGGCGGGGTGATGACTTGGACGAACGAGAGATCTGCCGTGAATCAGAAAGCATCCGAAACTCTGTGCAGCAAATCTCAATGGATTGGTTTAAGGGAAAATCTACAGGAAACCATGGTTTTTACCATTAGATATGGGGGTTTCCTGTAAATTTTCCCTTAAACCAATCCATTGAAAATCAGATGCACAAATTTCCCCAACTTGACTTAATCCAGCTGTGGTCGTCCCAATCAGACGGAATTTTTTCGAATCTCGGAGTCACATCCGCTGGTAGGTGAGGAGCCTGATGAATTGGAACCAAAGAAGTGTTCCAAGGCCCCTTGGAAACAGCTTGCTCCAATGGGATGACAATGGGATGAGTTCTGAAAAACACGCCTTTAAGAAAATTGGACACGGTTTCACCAACAAGGACAATAAAATCATGAAAGCATTCATACCAGCCGGCACAACTTGTTTTTGTTCATGTGTTTTCAACACGTCCTGGTTTCCGACACCGATTTCTTCAATCCAGAGGTCCCATGATGTCCAAAAATCACCAGGAAGAAGAGTTCCAGGGAGACCGTGAGTTGGCGGGCGGTTTGGTCCGGGGGCCCGCCACGAAGATTTCGGGGGTTCCATAGTGGAGATCCCCAATAGCTGGATGGTTTACATGGAAAATCCCATGGAAAATCCTCTGAAAATGATGAAATCATGTACCAATGTGTACCCGTATTTCAGGAAACCTCCAAATGGTGGATGTTTGCCGAAGATGGTGCATTTATGCGTCCCGAGGTGCAGTTCTTTTACGAGTTCAAGAACACAGTAAATCTGTGCGCCAGGGACCCTAGGAGCCCCTAATCCCGTGTGGACAGTGTGGACGGCCATGGTGAAGAATCTTGAGGAAATCATCACTTGTTTGATTTGTTTGTCAAACTCATGTTGATTGGTTCCATTCCCGGCTTGATAGAAAAACTTATTGCTGCATATCCGAGATATTTGCACAACTGTCTTGAGCTACACTTGGCCAGTAATAGGGGTTAAGCCACAGATCGGCACATTTCCAAAAGAGGGAGCTCAAGAGCCGCCACCGTTGTTGGTTTGCCATACCCGTCGTTCTGCGATAGGTTAATAGGTTAATATTCAAGTGCTAACAATGCTGATATATTGTGCTATTTCTCCAAATGGGTTGTCATTGGCTATTTCCCTCTAAATCTCCTTGTCAAGATGTATCCTCATTAGGAACATCTAGATCCCGAAACTGTGGATGGGACAATTATCAAAGCTGGTGAATATCAACTAAAATAGGAGATATATATACATATATATATAAGCTACATTAATATCATTGATAATGACCCCAAAAACATGTAGAAAAGTATTTTTCTGTACTGTCCTATGTTTCGAATTCCATCTTTTTTGGTGTTTTTTTCCAAATGATCCTCAAAGACCCCTTTAAAACGAAACCAGACCCGTTCCTTGGCGAGGTCCTCTTTCGCAATCGCGCCATGGCGACCATCGCCAGGGGCACCTGGGGAGACTTCGGGAAGGCTCGTGTGGTGGGCTTTCCACCCGCACGGCAGATGGAAATGGAGGCGCTGCACTCGGGCCTTTGTACAGTGTGGGACCCCCCAGTTGTAAGTTGGTTTATAAACCCCCATAACTATAGTTATTTGCGTACCATAAACCATAGTTATTGGAGTTATAAACCAACCTAGCTATCTTGGGGGCCCCACATTGTATGACTGTATATAACTGTGTATAACTGTAATTGTTTAACTGTTCCATCATGTGAATATGACCTGACTCCAAAAGAGTGTGAGTTGCCTGTTTCACCACCAGTTGGATTTTCTTTGGGTCATTACAGCTACCAGAATTGTCCTGTGAAAGTCGAGTTGCCCCAACTTGAACATAGCTGCAGCTACTTGCTATTTGCCACTGGGTAGATGAAGGGAGATTTTCTTCTTTGCAGCAGCAAGTTGATTGGTGTCTGATCATGTTCCAATCCAGAACATGGAAAAAGACGAGAATATCCGTAGATGCCAATTCTCACATTCATCGTACAGAGCTGCGCGCTGCGCCAGGGGGATAGCGTTCTCTCCTTGGCCCAGGCCAGGTGCTTTTTCGGCCTCGTAAGACTTTCAGACTCGGTAAATTCAGTAGATATGGGGAGAGAGATCTTTGTTTTGGTTTTACCATGGGAAATGGCCCATAGAAATAGAGGTTTACCTATTAAAAATGGGTGGATCTTTCCATGGCTATGTTAGCCATAACCAGATGGTACGATTTCAGTCACTTTTTTGCTGTGTCATCCTGCAAGAATCATGCTCACTCTTTCCCAAACCAAAACGCCATCTACCCTCTGGTATTTTGTTACATAGCTATTGAAAATTGCCCATTTATAGTTGATTTACCTATTAAATATGGTGATTTTCCATAGCTATGTTAGTTTACCAGAGGGTAATGACTTGTTCCGTTTTCAAAAAGTGATCGAAGATGATTAAGAAAATATCATCCGCAGAAACCTTTGGAAAACGACGGTGCAATGGTGCATCTAAACTTATCGCACATTTCTACACACACAGATATCTATATATATATAGAGAGAGAGAGATCCTATCCTATCCTATACCATACATATACATATACATATACACATACATATAGACAGAGACATATACATATACATATACATTCCTTTCCTTTCCTTTCCTTTCCTTTCCTTTCCTGTCATGTTGCTGCATCAGATGCTTGGAACATGCAGTGCCGGAGTCCTGACTATACCTTGATCTGCACATAGTGATCAGGCTGTACAGTAGTGCGATCAACAAACTCAAAGGACAACATCGGCACAAAAGCTTCGAGCAAGGGATCCACCCATTGCCCATGGCACCCTCCTTTAAGGGCAAAGTCAGCGATACTAGTCGCCAGGGCCTCATTCAAGGCTTCGGGATACACTTTGGCAATCGATGTTCTGAACGCACCTTGTGAATCATGGCCTGCCAGCGCCTGATGCCAACCCCGAGGATGATGACAACGGCCATGAGAGCCCAAAGACATAGTGTTGCTGACCATTTTCGGCGATCGGATGAGCAGGAGCGTCGTGGGCTTGCGCGCCGGGCAATGGTAAACGCACTGGTCAAATGTAATCACTTGAGTGCACTCCAATCGGCGCAGCAGCCGAGCCACCTTCGAAGCCCAAATGGACGAGAGACGGAGTCGCGCCGCCCATGCCGGGAAGGCCGGGTGCTCGACAAACGCGCATCCACCAATTCGCGCTGCAAGGACCACCATCGTGAAGACAAAGTGCATGAGAGCGCTTCCCACCTGTGTTTGCAGCCAACCGCGCTTCGAGTTCCATGGGAGGCCAGAAAGATGGTCATAGGAACGCAATGGCGGAGGTCCATCAGGCAGAAGTCGGGCGGCACGAAAAGTTTCACAAGGTGGGCCACCACCCACACCGCAAATGGCCCCACTAAGCAAACGATCTTGCCACCATCGTTGATTTGCCTTCGACGTAAGGTCCCCATCTTCATTCCGCAAGCAGTAGTCAATGGAGAGACAAAACAGCCGCGTGGCTCCTTGCACCCAATGGTTTTCGATGCAAGCCTGCAGATCCCCTTGTCGCCTATAGCCTTCAAGAAATTTACAAAACAAAGGGTGCGTATGTGCAACATCGCATGGAGCTTGGCTAAGCCCTGCATGGCATAGCAATCATTTTCACACGCAAGTAGCCACAAGATTGCAGTACAAAGCTCAATGGCTCATCGGCTGGTGTTGGCAGTACCTCAGGGTTGTTTCTCGGGCTTGCAGGAACATCGCAATGACCAGCAAGAGCTTCAAACATAGGCCCCAACGTCAGGAGGTCGTCTCTCCGACCAGCGACGGAGCATAACCGCAGCCTTCAGAGAGTCTGCAGGTGGGAGCTCAGGCCCCAAACACTTGCGAGCAGGGCGAGCCGCCTTTGTACAAAACCAACCTTGGCCCTTCATGGTCCTAGCATGTTCAGCATCGTCCTGGTTGAGCTGCAAGATAGTCTCCTCAGGGAGCGGTGGAAAACATGCACGTAGCGATCCAAGCAAGAAGGCATTGTTTGTAAATGGGCCATCAATCGGCTTCGCTGGTGAAAAATGCGACAACAGCAGGGACAAGTCCCATGTTGCACCAAATTTAAGCGCGGTATTATGAGCTTTTGTGGCATGAACGGCAAGCGCCTTCCTTGAAGCGAAGACCATCTCACACTTCTCACGCGCCCATGGCTCAATAGGGGGCTTGGCTGCGTCCAGCTCTGCCAGGGCATCGTCCCGCAGAAGCTGATTCTCAATACCTTTCTCCCGCACCAGCTCTTGGGCAACTGCACGTCTGTAGGCAAGGCAAGCCGCTTTTGCACGTGTGATGAAAACCATACCACCGTTCAGCAAGAGCAATCAAGGACCACCACTCCTCCAGGTTGGCCTCAGGTGAGGGCAATTTGGAAGGGCACCACAGCGCTGTACCAACCATGCCAGTGAGGTACGGAGTGACCCAATCCAAGAATCTGGAGCATTACTGAGGTCGTGCAAAAGATTCCACAATACACCAGGCCGGGGCAATGGCGTAGCGAAGGCGATTGACATGGAGCTGATCACCAGGCGCCAAAAAACACCAATCAGGCCGCATAGGGTGCCTGCAGAAAACTGAAATGGTGCGATGCCATCTAAAAAGGGCTTAGCTAGCAGAGCAACCATCATGCGCATGCTGGCTTCCCATTCTTGTAGAACTCGAGGAGAGCTTCGTGAGCACGTGCATGTTGTAGGTCAATTTAGAGACCACCAGTGACTGCATCACTTGCACCTTGGTAGCAAGAGCCACCGCTTTCTTCCTGAAGAATGGACGGACCAAGGGTCCCCATGCTTGCTTGGCTGCTGTAATGCAGTCACGGATGGCATGGCGCGGTTGAGCATCAGCATGAACCCAACCACCGAGGTGTCGATAGATCTGAACCACCCACAGTGAGTGGGACTGAGCGGAAATGTCCACTGGGAGGAGGTGGTCCTGATCTGCAAGCCTAATCTTGGCCTGCCAGGCGGCAAGACCCCGATGCGCAGCAGCGGCATGTACAGCTTGAAGGGCGCTAGTAGCCAGCGCAAACATGCCATCAATGTCAGGAGCCCGTACAAGAACGGCTACGTCATCGACAAAGGCCACTTCGCAGAAAGCATGATCGGCCACGGCTTCAGTGAGCAGCAAGTCACTAATAGGAGCACCGCTTCCTAGCCACGTTGCTTGAGAGCTTGCGCACATGGTGTTGGTCATGTCCTTCATAATGATTACCATGAGTAAATTGAATAGAATGTCTCCAACTGGATCACCAGGACGCGTGCCACGTGAGTCAACGCAACTTCTGGCAGACCATCCATCCAGCTCAAAGAAAGTGCCGCGGAAGAGGTCCGTGAGCAGCGCCCCAACATGTTTGGTGAGTCCACTTGTCGCCACATCATCTTGTGCATGAGATAGGAGCTGATGCAGTTCAGCCGGAGAGACCCCAAGCCGATGCATGGCAATCAAAAATCATACAGGTGGTGTCATCAAGGTGGTCAGAGAACAAGCCTTGACGAATCACTGTGTACAAGGCAGATTTAAAGTCCACAAACAAGCCGCCGACGGTCGTCTGCGAGCATGTGCAGATTCGAAATGTTGCTGCACCAGCAAATGCGGCGTGTCAGAGCTGCAACCTTTACGACCACCTGGCTGATGGGTTTGTGCCACACCTCAACCAGATGGTCCCTCAGCACTGAGTGGTAGAGCTTAGTGACAAAGTTGCTGACGAAGATGGAACGATAACCAGTGGGTTCAGAACGTGCTGATTTGCCCTTGTGAAGGGGAATAAGCCGCCCACCGCGCCAACAATCAGGCTCACGCGCATGAAGTGCAGTTTTCGTTGTAGGGGCTGCCACATGCTGAATCATAGGAAGGGCACCTGTTTTGAAAATCTCGGCAGGAAGGCCATCAGGGCCCGGCCCGGTGCCTTGCCTCGCTTCATCTTGCGGACTTTGGCAGCAGGCTGGTCGCTTGTCGGGGTGGCTGCAAGGTCTAAGTGCTCTTCAGGAAGGCCCAGACAGGCCGGCATAAGGCGCTGCAACGCCTCTCTAGTCATAGGCAAGCTTCCTTCAACAGCTGCTGTTGTAGAAAAGAAGTGATTGGCTTGCCATCTGGGTCCTTCAACAGGGGAAGTGGACGGCCCAGGCCACCCCTGTGACAAGCACGTCCCCCAAGACGACTGAGAAGCTGATAAACTGAACGGAAGTCATGCAAGGGTGCATCTTGGGCAAGCCAGTCAACAAGGTCAGCATAGAACTGGCTCTGGTCAGCTTGAACTTTGCCACGTACCATTTTTTCCAGGCATCGAAGTTCATGTTTGATGTCATCATCTTGGAGGGGCTTCAGAGAGACGAGGCCTAGAGCGTTCACCTTGCCTCTTGACAAAGTGCTGCCGAGCTAAGTGCATGACATCGTGTTGAAATTGTTCGGCATGGTCATTGATATGGACTGTCCAGCTTGGTATCCGCATCGTGGTAAGTGCTGCTTGAAATTCACGGCAACGCTGTGGATCCAAAAAGGCACATCGATCCCATTGATGTTGACGAATGGGTGACTGAACATGCCACCATCCAGAGTGTTGAAGACAAACTGGGACATGATCTTCATGAGCAAAACCAGCATCGTGAGCTTGGTCAGTCCAAGAAGCAGTGCACCATTGTAGCGCCAACTCACTGCAAAGAACATAGTCACGACGAAGGTGATACCCACGAGGGTGTGTCCATGTGGCATGAGGAGCATAGTGACACCACTCCATAGTAGTGGGAGCAAACAAATGGCCCTCCGTGGTGGACTTTTCAGAGAGAAGGCCCTGGTCATTGGTGCGTTCACTACCATGATCATCGAAATGAGCCCCAGCATAAGAGGCTAGCGGTGCGTTGGCATCGATGAAGAGCCACGTCATGGGAGCGAGCTCTGCGGCACGCAAAATTTCGGCAGTACGAGACCACCTATCTTCAATCTCCTCAATACTATTTTGTTGGCTGCGACATGGTGCGTCCAGAACAACGAAAGAACAGCTCATAGTCTGACCATGTAAATGGACGACAAGACATCGTGGGTCAGCCATGGAGACCACAGGTCTCAATTGGGCAAAAGACACTGAGTGATCTTGGGCACGCATAAATGGAAGGCTTTTGTGAAGCCAAAGTTCACATCCACCATGAGGAGCACCACGAGTCGTCAGAGCGCCCGAAGCTAAGATGTTGTAATGTGTAGTGGCGTAACGCCCTTCAGCACGTCGAGACTCTTGCAGCCCAACCACTGCAATTCCTTGCTGATGCCGTTGTTGATCAAGGCGCTCAGCACGTGAAGATGCTGATTCTTGGGGCAACCAATCTCCATCTCGTGACAAAGCAAGCACATTTGCCGTAGCAACTGTAAAATCAATGCGATGCTATTTGCTCCTCATGGGTGTCAGTAACATGATGAGGATGAGCAGTGCGCCGCAAGGAAGGCTGAGTTTCCAGCTGGTTGTGACCCCTGCAGGGGGCAAGCAGTGCTGAAAACAATGGCTGCAACGAGGCCCAGTCGATATCACCAGAGCCAACTGCTTTGTGACATAGGTGAAAATCAATGCACCCAACTCCAGTGCCAGAAGCCAAAGCCTGACGCGCCAATGAGTCGGCCAGGTCATTCCAAGGATGTGCAGTGTGGCCTCAAACTTCAAGGCATGAGCCACCTGCCTGGGCAAACCACTGGCCTAACCACCGGGCAACAGCAACCAATTTTGTGGTGCGGAGGGCAAGACCAGGTGGACGTGGACAGCATCGCGCTCAATGTGAGCCGCAACAGAGGCCATGATCTCAGCCGAAAAATTGTCGGGATGAGCTTCGCCAATCCATTGGGGAGAGCTGTGGTTGAGTTCAATTAGTCCTGACAGCGCACCCATGATGGAAGGGAACCCCCTCCAATCATATTCAATGGCAACAACACTCCAAGCCACATTGGTGCCACGCGCTGATCCGTCAACATAAAGAGCCATCTTGTTGGCGAGGCATGAAGAGTGGCAGCTTTCAAATCAAGAGCCTCAGGCAAAGATACAAAGCCTAGCTTCATCTCATCAATGTATTGATTCCAATAGTAAAGCAGCTCCGGGTAATTGGGATCACAATGATCTTGGGCAGGAGGTGGAGGAATCGCAGCATCCAATGACAAAATAACTGGAGCTGATGTGAAGGGTTGTGGTAGCGGAGGCATCTGGAGCATGGCAGCGTCCTCAACGTCCTCCTCTCGATGTACCACTGTTTCAGGTAGGAGGTCAATTTCAAGGATATCTCCATTTCCAATCTGCGCGGGCTGGATGGCAGGGAAGACTTGGTCATGCCTGCGCACACGGCATGGTCCGTGTAGGCCGTGGAAGATGCGCTATTAGGATGTCGGCAGTGGAGACCCTGCGCGCCATGCAGTGCATGCATTGAAGCAGGACTGGTCCATCTGGTTGTTGCATCACTGCACGGACCAGCACAGAGGCATGGTCTGGCTCAGCACGTTGTGTGAGCAAAAGGTTAGCGCGGTGGGTCAGGATCAACAAGTGAGAAATCAATGTGGTGCATGGATGTCTTCAACTTGGTCATTCAAAGAGACGTCACTGTTGACATACAAGAGCTCTTAGCGCTCCCGGACCCTCATCTACGTCAGAGGCTTGCAGCCATTTTGGAGCAAGGTGTACAGCAACTTCAAGCACCTGATGCTGATCGCCCTCCAGTCCTGGCACCTGACTGGTTCAACAGCTTGGAACTAGCATTTGATGCCCTTGCGGCCCCTGAGATGCTTGAAGAAGGGCCAGTGCTCTACATTCACAATTGGTTCATTGATGCTGCCACAGCTACGCGATGTCCAGTTTCTCCACCTGCTCCACTACGTCAAGATCGTCGCATATGGAGATCAGAGATCATTGCAGTATGGCAGGATCAGGTTCAGTCACAACGCAACGTTGGCAATGAACTCAACAGCACCAGGACCAGGTCGAGCTGACTGTTGCCAAATTGGCCAGAGCTCTTGCACCCAGCTGGGCGAGTCGGCAAGAGGCATAGCTTGTGCATTTGGAAATTGTGGAACATCTCCCGGGCAACCTGAAGTGCATTCATGGCTTGTAGAAATTCCTCAATCCAACTATATTGAATAGGTGATGGTGTGACTGCCACATCGGTGGTGAGGTCATGGTTGGGTTTGTCAGCGGAGATACACACCGCCAACTTGGACAGTGGATCAACATCGCTGACACCGGAATCTGTCTTGTGTGGTGAAAGATCCAGAGCAGAGTAGGCTGGAGAAGAGTTTTGTAACAACGTAACATCTTCAGCGTCAGCAACTCCAAATTTACGTCGAATGTCTTCAGATGGGACCAAGCTTGGTGAGTAGCTTTCCATTGGTGTCGCCAGCGGAGAGTCATTTACTGCAAGACGGGCTTGACGCAGTGCATCTCCAAGCAGGTACGAAGTGGCGTCATCACAGGTCTCATCTGGTGGCACACTAATCAAAAGATAGTCGCCATGTGTCGCCCAAAAGGGCTGCTCATCTTGAAGAGGTAGTAGACGATTGTTGTGCTTGACCAGGCATCGGTGTTGAACTTGCTGACAATAATAAAGAGTCAGCGGGAGCTCTTGGATCAGTCGCCGAGTCAGTCTCTGAGGCACCACGATCACCCTTCGATCAATGGCAGGGAATGTAGCATAGTGCAATTCGCGTGGGTTGCCATAAATCTCAACATCGACTAAGCATAAGCACACGGCCTCTCCTGGAACAAAATCACAAAATCATCAAGGTGATGAATGAGTAGCGGTGTGATGTGTCGAGGCAGGTCGGGCAAAACCACATTGAGCATCCCGGTCAAAGTGCGCAGCTGCTTCTCGGCTGAGGAGATGGCTGAAGACGCCGGGGTCGATGTAGGCACTGATTGCAACCTGGGTAGGTTGGAAGACCAGGTGGGCTCCTGAAACCACGAAGACGGCCCATCGGCAGCATCGCCACGGAAGGTATTTGTGCTCTTCTTGGATCGACGTTGGCGACGACTGGGCTGGTTTGTGCGCTTCCTTGGGCTGTTTGCTCGAGGATTCGCCGCCTCTGTGCGATCTGTTTGATCGGTGCGATCTGTGCGATCCGTTCGATTCGAATTTGTAGACCTGGCACTTTGTGCACGTGGTGTCTTCACTCTTTGTTGTTGATCCCAGTTGGGCCATGTGGTCTGGTCCCACTGCCATGCCTGTGGTGCTGGTGTAAAACCACACTTGCACGAAGCACATGTGCGGGCAACCTTCTTGTTGAGGCGACCGCAGGGACACTTCCATGGTTGAAGCTCCATCTTGGCTTTGATGCGAGCAAGGAGTCGAGGATCGAAAGAGTGATGTGTTGCCAACTTGACGTAGATCCTTTGCAGTTCGTCTCGATTGAGGGAGATCCGGCCCCTGTTGAACAAGAACCACTGTCTCCGAGCAGCAGCTCGACCACGGCGAAGAGATCGGCGCTGGGAAGGTGTAATGGTTATAGATCAGCAGGATAACGTAGAGAACCGCAAAGGCGAAAGTCAATGAAGGCCAAGAGCACGTTGGCATACACCACAACAAAGGGCTCCACAGAGAGATGATGCCAGTGGCAGAGCACTTGCTGCAGAAGCCCAAAGCCAGGTAGCACAGCGCTGGAGAAGGCGGTTGCTACGGCGACGAGCCCGCGGGTATGGCGCTAGCTACAGCACCCGCTAAGGAACAAGACACCTAATCGTGAAGTGGGGGGGAAGTTCTTCCCATAAACACGACACAGGGCCAAGACCTTACATTATACATTCATTATATTATAAACTATTCATATCATACATCATATACTATACATATTATACATATTTTTTTCATATTATATATGCATATTGCTAGTTTACTAGAGGGTAATGACTTGTTCCGTTTCAAAAAGCGATCAAAGATGATTTTTTGAAAATATCATCCGCAGAAATCTTTGGAAAAGAATGGTGCAATGGCGCATCTAAACTTATCGCACATTTCTACACACACAGATATATATATATATCCTATCCTATCCTATCCTATCCTCTACCATGCATTTACAGATACATACACATTATACATTCATTATATTATAAACTATTCATATTATATTTATATATATATACATACATACATACTGTATCCGTGTCCACTAATTGGATCCACGGCCGCTGAGCTCCTTCGGAACCGGCCCTTTGTGGCGGCCGTGGCACCCCGGGCGAGGCAGCTGAAAGCCCTGCAGGCCCCGGGGTCGCGGTGGAGCGGTGGTAGCTGGGGAAACCCCTTTCGAACAATGGGAAAATCATGTGAAAATATGGGAAACTTGGCAAAATATGAGAAAGATATGTGAAAATTTGGAAAAACAATGAGAAAGATGTGTGAAAAATATGGGTAAACCCCAAACTTAATGGAGGTTTATTGCTGGGAAAATCATCGAACTAAATGGCGGAATTTGATTGCCGAACCAACATGGACAAAAATTGGCCTGGGTTTGACCTGTAAAATTAGAAGCATTTCCGTCAGAAATGCATTGCTTAATGATGAAAAACGAAATTGTAACCCCTGACGAGTTGTTTTTTTCCTATCCTGGGATTGTACAAAAGCATTGGGGTCTATCCTGTTGAGGTGGAAGCGAAGCTTGGTATAGGTAACATTTTCAAAGGAGCCTTTTGTCAACCATGCATATAGCGATAGATTGCCATAATATAGTATGGCAGATTTGATTGTTGGGAGATTTGTTGATGATTGAAGGTCTCCATGAAAGACCTCACCCCAAATCTACAGGTCAGGGATGAGCTGCCCCTAGCGACCTCCAGGAACTCTCAGAAGCCAAAGATGTAAAGATGCTGCTGATATTGTTGAATGCACCTCGGTCGCAGTGAGAGTTTCTCCCTATCAAGGTACATTGCATGGTTGTAATGTGGAGAGGGTTCATGATCGTCATCATCGTCATCATCATCATCATCATCATCATCGTTGCCGTCGTTGTCGTCGTCATCATCGTCATCATCATCATCATCATCATCATCGTTTGTATTGATAATTAACGACAATGATTGCCATAGTTCACAATGATTGTCATTCGTGATTTTCGTAATGATAGACAATGACAATGATAAGAATCATCAATCACCACAATCACTTCACAATCACTCCACTTTTCTACAGCATTGCCATCACCCGAGGCCAGGGTCCGTTGCAGATCCGAGGAGACGGGTGGCTGCCGAGGGGGCCACTGAGGGCCGCCGTGTTCCCAGAGTCAGTGCAGGACTGCACGGACATCCGGAAGGACGTGGCTTTTGCTTCGAACCCGGTCTTTCACGTGGCTACCCAAGGATTTGGAGAGTAAGAGAGTGGCGAAACACGATGAAACCATAGAACGGTGAAGGCACTTTAGGGCTAAACTCCACAGAATCACAGGCTGAAATGACTAAGAGTTCTACTTTGCTTTTGTCATCAACAAATCGTTATACCCGAAATTCCCCTAATCGCACCCACAAAACAGCAACGTTTAAAGTTCTGGTAGTCTTGACACTTCCCCCTATGATGGCCATCAAAGACCCCGTGGCACCCATGGGACCCGCCATGGCCCAATCTCGACGGACCCAAGGTGAGTTTCGCAGGGCCAAAGGGTGAGGCGAATTTTTCTTCTGAAAAAGTCCAGAAGGGCATCCAAATAATTGGGATTTCCATATGGATTTCCATCATTTTTTGATTCATTGAATTTGGGATGATTGATCACATTTGTTCTACATGAGTTGCTGTGAGTCTCCACCGCCAGGGGCTGCTCTACAAGTCCATCAACACACCCTGGGTGTTGGTGAGGATTCGATGCCGCTTGTTTTGTCGTTGCTTTCTAGATGGCAATTCAGGAAGATATGGATGTCCAAAGAAAATTGGTTGGTTTGGTAGTTGTTTTGGGGTTCAAAACGGTACCTCAATTTTGACCCGCGCCGTTGTGACAACCCATGCCTTTGACGTGTTTCTCAGGGTCTACACCACACCTTGAGCCCCCAAAACATCACATTCATTTTGGAGTGGAGCTTGAATTTTGTGTCAGGATAGACCCAAGTCACTGGCAAATGTGTGCTTGAAAAAAGTAGGACCAAACTATGCAGCCAGCATTCACCTGTGTTTTCAAGGGCCCCGCTTTGCAACGCCAAAAGCAAAAGCCACGTGAAACGGGTCGCAGGAGGGAAGATGGCAAGGAGCTTTGGCGTGGCGATGACGAGCCGACAAAGGAGGTTCTGGTTGGGGAAAGCATCGAAGATCCTAATTCGCACCTCCCGCACACACGCATAGTAAAGAAAATATACAGATAGTCTCATAGACCTGATATGCATCATAACGCCGATTTGGGCCTTATGCCTTCTTGATTCCTGGCAGGTGGTCCAAAACGCCATGAAGGAAAGCTGACTCGCTGCGCGGGAGTCGATCCTGAGATTTGAGAAGCAAAAAAAAATGGTGCAAAGTGACCTGAGTCGTGCCAGTGTCATTTCGGTGGCAAGTCGCTGCGGCGCGGCAGTCTTTTTGATCATGTGTCCCACGGCTAGTTTGGGGATCATTCCGATCGTGGCGGGTTCTTTGGGCGAAATGACGCCAAGAAGCAGCTGTGCTTTTTCCACTTTGTTTTTTCGTTGAGAGACTGTTTGGGTCCAGATAAAACCTCAAACTTTAGAGGCACATTTCAGGATGTCCCTGTGTTTTTGGGAAAGGCAAAAACTCCACGATTGTTTTGGTTCCAGATGAAATAGCCCTTGCAGCCCTACAATCATGTTCAAAACCTATCTCCAACTGTCTCCAATTGTCTCCACATTCTATGGATTTCAGTCTGTTCAAACTCATTCCTCTCGGATGTTGGTTTTTCATAGCGCCTAGGTCAGGAGCCAGCCCTTTACGGAACCTCGCGCTACAAATTCAAGGACCCGAGGGACCGACCTGGGATTGGGAAATGATGATGAATTCACAAGGATTCAGTCTCTGTGAACATGCAGATTGGACAGCCGGCCTACTCTCGGGGCATCACCTTCAATCTACTTGGATGGCTAGTCATAGGGTGAACATCCATGCAAGCTTGCAACATCCCATTATTATCCCATTATCATCCCCATGTTTAAACCATATCAATATATTAATCCATATATATATAGAGAGAGAGAGAGAATAAGTTCCATTTATATGTGATTTTCCCAGTAAAATATCTCCGTTTATACTATCAACTGAAATGGAAGGCATGCTGTAAAGCCTCTACGATCACCAAAACTGTCAGGAGAATCGCTCCACATCTACGCGGCCACGCACCAGGTGGGGCGGATGCAGAGATTCATCCAGGGATACCCTGTTGGTTTATCATTACCATATAATACCTGGTGGAATGGGGATTTTTGTAGCATTTATATGCATTTAACCCAAACCTATCAACCAAATAGTATAATGAGATGGGATAGAGGTATTTCGAATGGTTCATTTGTTGATGTTTGATAAACCCATACCCCAGAGGACAGGGCTGTAGTTAATAACCTCCTATGTGGCCATGGTTGGTAAATTGGACAGATGACAGTTAAGAAGCTGAATCTTTCCACGCAATGACGAAATTGTCTATCAGTGATAGATGCAATAGATTGAGTGTCTCACCAAATGTGTCGAACTGAATTAAATTGTTTGCAATTAGACAGCAAACGCATGCACCATAGATGAGTGTGCAGGATTAAGTCTTTAGGGGCCATCCATTCCATTTCAACTTTTTAAGCGGATGTGTAGAATTAATGCAGTACATTGCAGGACCTCAATCTCAGCCAGGATGGATTGCTTCTCCTGAGACCTCGAGGTGGGGATTCTCACCTTCGAAATGTCCACGAGGAAAGCAATACCACCTGGACTCAACTGGTGGAAGGCAGTGCATATAGATATGCCCCCAAAATGAGGACACACTGCGCCAGAAACTCCAAAAGGTTTAGCCATCTCTATGTTTTTTTGCAGGTGAGCAGCTGCGACCAGTTCTGGAGGCGGCTCTGTGATGGGTACAATGGGTACGGGTTGTTTCTTGAGAAGATCAAAATGTCTTCAGGGTGCAGAAATGTGCAGAATCATATACGTACTATTTCTCCCCTCCAAAAATGCAAGTGCACAAGTCCGCCCAGGTTGAAACTTCCAAGGAACGAGGCTCCTGGACCCCCGAGCTGCCCGGGATCTCAGTGCTTTTCCCAACCCTCCATGGCTCCATGGCGGCTTCCAGGGCTCACGACCAAGGCTGTTGGTGCTAAAGGATGTGCTCTTCTCCTTTCGCCCAGAGGAAAGCTGCTGGTGGAACTTGCTGGAGCTTGGTGGCGGGAGGTACAGTATCCCTAGGGCAATCCCCTATCCCCTTTTTCCGTGGAATTTGACAGGGAGGGGTTCCCTGATAAGTGAAGCGCAGAGAATACATGTGGCAAAGCCCGCTCTGACTCTGACCCACTCATGTTGGTTTCTCGGCGCTTGTGGTACGGTCACCGGAAATTGTGAATCAGGTGGGTGGCACGCATACTTCACCTGACCTGACCGCGATGGTTGGCTACTGATTTCTTCATTGCTTGAAGCTGCAGAAGAGAAGGAAGTTTATATGAGAATACCTCACCCGCACCTCTCTTTCTGTTTTCAGCCATGTTGCTGAGGGAATAGGTCATGTATGAATCACATCCTTACAAAACTTGACTTTGGGGATGGGCATGGGGCTCAGGACGCCTCCTGCGAAGGCGGGGGGGAGAAATATGCGCTCTCCCAGCTGACCGAGTTATTTCAGCGAAAATTCAACTTGTTTATTCCCAAAGTAGAAGTATTTTAACCCAAAATTTAAAGCCACTGTGGGGCCGTCATACTTGTTAGGCGGGCATCGGCAATAACATGGGTAATGTCCATTGACAAAGCAGTTCTTGAGGGAAGCCGTGGCATCAAATGTGTCTGGCTTGCTGAGAGAGATAAACAGTACACGTTCATCCTCACGAGCATTGGATTTGACCCAAACAGATGGAGCGACTGTAACAGAAGAAAGTGTGGCAGTTCCGAGATAATAGTTGCAATCTACATGGTTTTTGTTGATTGCCATCCCCGAAAAAAGGTAAAACACAAGTTACATAGTCCAGAAACACAAACTACATAGTCCAGATGGGTACCCTCTGGTAAACTAACATAGCTATTGAAAATGGTGATTTATAGTGGATTTTCCCATGAAAAATGGTGATTTTCCATAGCTATGTTAGTTTACCAGATGGGTATCACAATTAGGTGACCGTTTCCAAGAAATTCTCAGCACCTGCCAGGTGCCGGTTTGCTCACGGCGTGGCAGTTGAACAGTGGGGTTCGGATTGCCCAAGCTGCGGTGTGCGAAATACAAAGGTACCTAGAGAAATCAATGGCTGTTCCTGTGGAAAGAAGATGAAAGAAGTAACTACATCCATAATATCCATATGACACTTCCATTCTCAGATGGTTCAAATCTCAATCCATGTGGTTGACCGCAATTTCCAGGATTGCAGTGCATGCCAGCATGATTTCCAAGAAGTTCCTATGGACAAATGCTGATTTGCCCCCACCGTGAGGTGAGTGAGTACACTTTCATTCTTCCATGTGAAGCATATATGCATTTGAAAGTTGTCAATCCCGCCTTTTCTCATTTTTCAATATCTTTTACACATCCAGGGATTTGCGGCCCAGGTCAAGTTTCAACGTGTGCTGAGTACAGAGGCAGATGGCCGAAGGGTTGAAAGCTTTTGGCCCGGAAATTGGCCTGTTACTGAGTTCCTAGTTCTGACAACTACTGTACCTCGACTTGTGATGATGTGATCGATCAATCCTGGTCGAAGTCCAAAGAGTAGATCTACAAAAGGACGAATTCAAAGGCGATTGTAGTTGACAGCCACACAGCCCCAGGCGGCGTTGTCCGCTCCTCAGCTCCAAGCATCGTCTGAAACACGGTGAACTGACCATCCCAAAGTGTTGCCACGACGTGGAAATTTGTTGTTTGGAATAGCTTTCTGGTCACAAACCATTTCCGCATGTCCTCCATATCACGTGAATTTCTTTCACGACGGAAAGGAAATTCATCACCCACTGCCCATGTTGCCAATATTCACCCCCAGATGTAACGGACTAGAAGCCAAAAGATTCGCAGATGAACCCAAAGAATTGTCAATGTCACCTGAATCCTCTCGCAGAAAATTCTCGGAGAAGCCACAGCAAGTGCTTCACCATCCCCGAAATTGTCAGGAACATGACCTTCTGCAGCCCCTCTGTGGTGGCCTCGTTTTAGCCGCGCCATTTTAGCGTCATGGCGACGAAAAATTCTGGCGACACTGCTGATTGAGGTCACAGTTAGAGAGGTGTTTGACCATATTTCAGCCGTATCTTTGGAAAGGATGTCTGGAAACGGGAATGTTGTTGGATGAAGATGTGGTATTGGAATCAGCCGCCAATATCGCTTGATGTGATCTCATTCGGTAGGGAATTTTGACATGGTAGGTGACAAACAACCAACCAATACCGCGGCTCAAGGCCAGTGAAAAGGCCTTCTTTCAGGATAGAATGTCCCATTGGTGCAGAAGAAAGCTCCAAATTACTACCATATGCATCCATATGCCACAAAACAGTCTCAGAAAATGACTTGGGTTCAGAGAGAGGGCCTGATAACACAACTGCATTTTGGTCGTTTTGGTTGATTTCAGTGGCAAAAATCTTTTTCTGAATGTCCAACCACACAGCTAAAAGCTGTCAAATCAAGCACCATACCAAGCCTTCCAGCCTCATGTGGCCCGCCCCTGTCCCAGCTCAAACATTATCAGGTGTTACGCTTCGAAGAATTCCTGAGAATCAATTCCATAGTGTTGAATTTGTCTGTTGTTTTGCAGAGTTTTTCCCGTGTGAGACTATGCGAATGTTGGAATGATAAGCTAGAGGAGATGCCTTTCCTGCTACCCGGAATCCTGGCAAGTCACATATCATCAAGCTGTCCAGAAAATTTTGCAGAATTGATAGAGAGGACGCAAACAGGTTTAACCTTTGCATACACCTCTCAATGTCCGTATTCAAACGCAAATGAATTCATTTGCATATGCATGCATACACATGTGCGTGATCAGAATACATACATCCATCTATAGGAATATTTAGTGGAGGTTGTCAGGCTCTCAATTCCGCTGACTCGAATCACGACTTTCAAGGGAAATTAAACGTATACAGTAGGAGCAACAGGTGTTGAGAATGAAAGAAATGTCGAAATGTGACTGTTGGATCAGGAGGCCTTTGTTCTTGAAGATCTTAAACTTTTGAGATCATCCAAGTTAATAAATCTTCTCTGATTCGCACCATGGTGATAACTGCACTTACCCCACGTGTCTTTTGAGTTTTCTTTGTGACCAGTTCGATCCAGGTCTGGTTTTCAGACGCCCGCCTGGCGCTGTGGCTGCTGCTGATACTGTGCCTGGCTCGTACCAGGCGGATCTGTAAGGGACTGGTTCCGTACCCAGGACACGACATAACCAATACATAACCAAAACATAGCCCATACATACCACATGTCAGCTGTGACCACAGCGACAATCACTCCAAAGTCAGGTCTCAATGTTGCCACTGTGGAGCACATGTCTGTGGAACACACAGTTTGATGATGGTTTGCGGCCCTGTATAGATTATTAGATTTGCTTTTCCTTCAAGATTGCAACGTGTACGAATCAAAATTGACCGGAAAATAGATTGGATGATACGTTTGAAGACTTGAGGAACATTAATCTTCTTGGCCACATCAAAGTCCTTCAGAGTTTTGTCGTCCTTGGCTTCGTTGAATTTGTTGAACTTGGTGCAGGTTTGCTGTACCACTGCCGCTGGTCCTCTTCCATTTTGCCATTTGCGCCTTGCCTGGCAGAGATGTGCAAGATGATGTAACCCGACATAAACAACACTCTGATTAGCACAGAGAGGACGGTAAGAAAGAATCTTCTTCATCTCAAGGTTTTGTACCAGTATGATTTATTGCAAAACTGCTAGCGACTCCTCTATTTGTAAAAATGGAAGGGGCTCTTTATGAAGAATTGCTCTGGGTATTCCTTGGTGATGCTTTTCATCAGTGCATCTTGTAGTCTGATTTTCAGGTGTGGCGGCAGTCAGCTGCAGTGCTCGAAAGCTCAGCCAGCATGTCTCCCTGCCGTGGTGCCCTATGGATATGAAACCATTGTAAAACCTTGCTTGGTGTTGGCCAGCGTCGTGATGCCGTTTCTTGAGATATGTCCTGTACCTGTTGTTCGAAACTAATGAATAGATGAATAGTAATGACAATAATGATAATGATAATGGTGATGTTGATCATCATCATCATCATCACCATCATCATCATCATCGTCATCGTCATCATCATCATCACCATCATCATTTTTCAGCACTGGATAAATTGCAGTAGGCCAACAAGACCCCGGTGGAACCTGAAGTGCTTTTCTTGCTATTGGGGGGCCACAACCTCACAAACAGAGGTTGTAGGGAATCACACCCTGTACAAGATGCTTTAGTGCACAGAAGCATTGGTCTTGCTCACAATTGAAACGAGATCTGAAATGTCAGAGTTCAAACAGCCTGCCCCTCAGGGCTGGTAGTGGGAATGTTCCTATTAGGTGAGGAATCCACGTGACACCATGTCTTGGAAGTGCTCAGGTTGCCTTTTACATTCACACCACTCGGACAGTTGGGAAGCTCAGGACCTTCAGAATGGTCCGAATATGTCAGAATGTAATAGAATGTACCATATATATATACCGTATATATGTACCACACAGCCCCAAAGAATTCGCACATGATTATAGATTATTAAAGATGTTACATGATTATAGATGTTACAACATCTTACCCTAGGTTTCATGATTTTCATCTCTTTGCATCGCAGGTTTTCAATCGCCGACCTCCATGGGCCTTCATGCCCTTCTGGAGTCACTTCATGATGACTCGACCCCTGGAGGCTTCACCATCCGCTGAAATATGGGTGAAATATATGGGAGTTATTTGGCAATAGAAAACCTTGATTTGGCTCATGATTTGGCCAAAATCTTTGATCCAGGAAGTACAATATTCTTTCATCATGTGGCGCGAAACAGTGCTGCAAAAGGAATGAAACACGATTGCAACATCTAAAGTTATGTCCTCCCAAATCATCAGTGATCTCTTATGCTTGTGAGTTACAATCCCCCTGATAGTATGTCCTTGTGGTTGATGTTAGCCCCATCAACAATTAAAAAATCATTTGCTAGTGTCAGGCCCTGTATCCCCAAAGACTGCTCCCACGTGACGTATCCGTCGACCGCAGGTGCTCTGGCGGTTCCTGACGGTGCCCTTTCGAGCCACTTGGATGTGTGGAAGTCGTAGGGAAATTACAGCAATTCACCAGGAACTTATAAATAAATATTTGTCCTGTTAGTGTATAGTGCTGCTTGGGGAAATTGCTACGAAGCTAAAGATAGTTTTAAAGCTATCCAGCTCATTGCGGTTGGGAAGTTCGCTGAACCGGCGTTTTGCTTCAGAATGCGCAGCGGTTGGATCACAAGAACAAGATATTTCACAGCTCTACTCGTGGGGAAATGACTTTTCCACTTGATTTGCATCAATTTCAAGCTCGCCATTTGGGGCCCAGCAACTGGTCCAGCCAGTTTTGTGCGCCGAAACACCAGGTGCATCCAGATTTTCTGATCCTGGGCGAGGTGCCTTTTTTGTGACCGGGTCGGTTGCAGATGCTGGTGCTGTGCGGAGTTCCTGCATGTTTTTATTATTGTTGTATGATGCCAGAATTAGCTTTCTGCATGTTTTTTGCCGAAAGGTTGACCCGCCAGTGATGTTGTCCACCGTTTTTGTTGCTATATCAAAATGGTTCATCAGGCTTTTACACCCACTTTCAATCCACAAGTGTGAAGTTGTTGGTGCTAACCCGTCCATCTTCGATTGTTGATTAACATCCCCAAGTTTGTCGGTTAATACCCACCTAACATCATCATGATATACTCCCATTTTGCGAGCCAAACAGTTTTGCATTCTTAGAAATTCTTCAATCAAATCAATTATATACTGCCAATGAACATCCCCATAGTTGTATCGTCATTATGTGTATATATTATATTATACTAGGTTGGCCTTTGGGAGTTTGTTTTTTTCCGTGGTTTGCACCATATGTAATGATATTTTTGGCATTCGGGGTTTGGATATTGTAGCGGCATAGGGTTTCTCATTTCAGCTCTGTGTGTGTGTGTCTGTTTGTGTGTGTGTTGATTTGTGGTGATTTGCCGGCTTGCTCGCCACTGGGGTTGTTTGCTCAAGAGATTGGTAGGAGTAGGAAGTTGAGTATATATATATATATGTATATGCTTGTCATATATATATATATACATATATATATATATATACGCATATGCGTGTGCGTGTGTGCTTATAGAAATATACTGGGATACAATGGTGATGTGTCACGGAGAAGATGGGCTTCAAAGCTTGGTAAATGATCTCCAGGTACGCACCGGCACCACGTCGGCCGCAGCTTATTTGAGGGCCCTGGGCTGTGTGGGTCTGGGGGCTCAGGGGCTGCAGACCTCCTCTATCCCTGGAATTTTCGCAGTTTCTGTAAGGACAAACTCCACGATGTCAGAAACTGGAAGCAGTTTCTATTCTAAGTTCATGGCATCTTGGGAATCATCTGGTACCCAACAATTTTCACGCTCGAATCGGCTGCGGAATTGGCCATGACTCCATGACAGTTGCCCTGAAATGGATTGAAACCAGAGGACCTGCCAGCATGGTCAGCAAGACGACGTTGATTTGCGGGTCACCATGGAATGGGTGAACATGAAATCAGAAAAATCCTGATTTCGCTTATTGATGTCATCGATGTCATCGATGTCAAGCAATAGATTGAATCAATGGAATAAACGGAATAAATGGGATAGATTCCCAAAAAAGAACCATGGTAAGTCCTCCCAAGTCCACCCAAGATCTCCAAGCGCAGGCGCCTTCAGTCCATGGATCCATCCCTTGGCCTCGGATAAGGAGAACGAGAAGAGAACGAGAAGAGAACGGCGGGCAACGGAGAATGCGGCGCGATCGATGGCCAGATGTATGGAATTGACATAACGAAGCAATTGAGAGAATGGATAGAATCTGGTTGTGGTTTGGAACATGAATTTTGTATTTCCATATCTTGGGAAGAATCATCCCAACTGACTTTCATATTTTTCAGAGGGATTGAAACCAGGATAGAATGGTCCAGGTATGAATGGTGAATCTGAATGCATTTGATTTAAACAAAATAATAAAAAAGGTTTGGGACGAGTGTTGAGAACCCCATGTGCAGATTACAACACCAGCACTACACCGCTACAGGAACCATTTCAAGGAGCTCAAGCAGAAGTAGCTCATTTCGCAAGCCCCACTTGTCTCGTAGACCGATCTGTTTGTTGAAACGAGGTGATGGTATTCCATCGGGACTGGGTGAATTTATGTCCCAGGAGTCCTTCTACTTCGCCGGTCACTACTGGGGGTACGGTGGCCTGTTGTGAGCAGATTGCTTGTTGCTAGTTGAACAGGTTACAACTGCAAGAAGCTTCGGACTTGAAAATCATGATATTTTTCATCAAATGTTTAAAACCACACTGAGATCTTATTCTTCACCAGGTGACATACTGGTATGACCAATGACCAGCTTCAGGTGATCATGAAACTCTCAGATATGACTGGGGTTCATACACCAGCCCCACGCAACATCCGCTCAGTAGAGAATTTGCGGTTTCACTGATATCACATCTATAACTGATTCTAAAGACCACATTTCCACCGTTGCTGACCAGCACATTGAAGAGTTTTGCAAGATGACTTTCTCTTGAAACCACAGACCTTGAACGTGTGTGGTTATGTTGGAGAAGTCCCAATGTTCTGCCGAGAGGGGAGGCCTGGTGTTTCCTAACCACAAGGATGATAAGCTCAACTGAAAAGACATTTTTCAGGACTAGCTGAGATGTCTCAGCTCCCCTCTTAGGTTTTTTTGCCACTCGCCAAAAATTCCAAGTGCTTTCCCGGCCGTTCCAATCAGGATGGTACATCCTGGAGCTTATCGAATGTCTTTCCCACTGAAGATCTCTATGTGGTGGTCATTCGCCCCAGCCAAGCATCCATCATCATTTTGGGAGTTTCAGTGATTTAAGTTGATTTTAAGATATTTTAAGGTTTGAGAGATGCCTTAGAAATCATTTGAGTGTCATGTTTTGTTTCACTTTTGACTTTTTGACACTTTTTGTTTTGTTCCCAGTCTATGAAGAATATGTGTTGGTTTGGGGAAATGCCCGGAAGCGTGATTTCTTGGACTCTTGTTGACGAGTGTCCTCATCCTTCCACTCAGGCGAGAGTTCTGGTACAAGGACTGGCTGTACAATGGGGACGATGGGCCTGTGGAATGATGCAGGAACTTTCACACAGGACAATGTTGTAATCAAATAGTGGGACCCTTGTCAACTAGTCTTGCAATCCTGCACAACAAAGCCGCGAAGACTCCACAAAAAAAGTGACGGGACTTGACAATTTCAATGACTGTCAGTGATGTCATGGAACAAAGCAGCAACTTTGTGGGATCCCAACTATTTTTCATTCTCAGTATAGTATGACATATTTACAAATTATATTAGTAATCCGTGCAAACCCCCCCTTTCGCCCACACACGCAGCAGGGTTTCCAAGTACATTGAAGAGCGATATTCACTGGCGTGTTGAAGAGAATCTTAAACATGTTTCAACAGAGTTTCTAGGGAATCATTAAATCCCCACCCCCTGTTAAACCTTATATTCAAGGGAATCTTCAAGATGGTGTTAATATGATTATGATGATTCTGATGATGATGATGATGATGACGACGACGACGATGATGATGATGATAGTGTAACATTCAACGCACAGGTTGCTAAGCTGTGCCTTGCAAGATGAAAGCCATGATCCTGGACATGTGCATGTTGTCCCAGAAAACACGGTGATTTTTGATGTTCAGCCACGCGGTAGACGTCGGCGCGGGCAAGAGGAGTTTGTAACTGTCAAGAACTCATTGATACGATTAGCTATAACTATCAACAACTATCCCCATTACAAATAGTTATCAATAACTGTCAATAAATATCCCCACTACCACGAAGGAGCGGCCCTTGGTCTTCGATGCATGTGCTTCGCACCTCTCGGCCCCCTGGGTGGGCGACCCAGACGTCGGCAATGGAAGTTCACCATGGAAAGTTGAAAATCTGATTGGCATCAAGGGAAGTTTGTGGAACAGATATGATCAGCACAACATCATGATCAAAATCATTAACAGATATGGAAAGTTGAAGTTTATGCCACAGTTGGAAAGTTGAAGTTTGTGGAACAGATATGATCAAAAATCGTTTTAAAGTATGTGTGTGTGCCGGTGGCCCACACGAATTGAATTTTGTTGTCGATCTGACACCATCCATTCTGGGGGTGAAATGTTGACTCAGATGCATATCAACAGATGCTGAAAATTCGGCACTGGGCCCAGTCGCGAGGAGATTTCAATGCCACCAAGGCTGCGCCTCTGATGTGGAACGCCTGCCCAAAGGCTGCGGTTGGATGGGTCCATGGTGAACTGGTGACTTTGAAGAAATCAGTGCGATCAACAGTGATAGAATATTTACATATTTAGTCTAACATCTACTGACTTTAAAGTCTAACATGACTTGGCTCTGGTTGTTAGATGGTGTTAGACTTTTACTGACAGATGGTACCTGGCCAGGCGGCACTGATGGTCATTGTTCGTCCACCAGAGTTGCAGCACAAGCTCCTCGGTGTTTCGAAGCCAGGAATGGAAGCTGGGTTTAACTGGGTTTAACTCCGGTTAACATGGTTTAACATGGTTTAACCTTGATTAAACATGGTTTAACAGTTTTCAGTTTTGCCACTTGTCATCACTGCTAGTGTGTGAGTGTTTGAAGCACAGCGATTCTTATTCCAGCTGTGTTTTGAAACCTATCTTTGCAGAGGGTTGCCCTGATCTTACACAGCCGAATCAGGCCCCATTTTTCATAGGGAAATCATTTGCAGAGGGATTTCCATCGCCTCAGGTCGTGGTGGAGATTGGAAAGTAATGCGATTGCTTGGGGAACGTGCGGATTGCCAGCAGGGCCAGCAGGGTCACTGGTGACTGCCAAGAAAATCTAGCGATGGAAAGTTTCAACAGGATTTCAACGGATATTGTTCAGGAAACCATTGGCATCTTTGACAGAAAGTTGCTGGCTGCCGCCCAGGGGCATGGGCATGGGAGAAGACTTCCTAATGGAAGGTTATCCTCCAAAGACCTTGCCCGATGCGGTTGGGGAACCCACTGGGCGATCTGGAATGGGAAGGGATTGGTGAAAACAGAAAAAGTGCTTTAGGCTTTGAATCGATGGGGATTGGAGGTGTTTTTTGCTATTTGAAGATGGGCCAAAAGCTTTGCGATGTTCCACAGCTTCCGTCCCTTCACACGACTGCCCCAGTGCATTCATGATTCTTCAGATAGGTTGAAATAGAACGCCAGACAGAATATGTGCAAGATTAAGCGAAGGTTCATCCAAACGTTTCCAAGAATTTTATATCAAGAAAGGACAATGGATACCATGATATTGCCACGCTTCGGAATGTGTCATGGTCTTGGTTCCTCTTGGAATTTAAGATGTCCCATCCTTCTCAAGATCATGAACTGAATGTATTCTAAGGCAACCACATTGAAGGTTTACCTTTTATCGCACGCACGTTTCAGCATTCATTAACCCAGCTTTGCAACCCAGCTTCGAGGGTTGGATTGAAACCCTTCTTCAGGTGATGTCCTTGCAGCAAAATCATCCCTAATTTCCGACCATATTTCAGACCCACCTCACAGCTTGCTGCCATCTGAAGGTTGCTTGGTCGCGCACTGAAAAGGCATTGGCCCCAGTTGCTACATTTGACACGAAAAGCGTCACAATGGCAAAATCTTCACATCTCGACAGCAAAAGAGAGAAGGTGACGAAAAGCTAAACTACGTCGAAGCCACGCCTTCTTTTGCGTGTTTTTGGGGTTTTTGTTGTTGATTTCAAATCTCCGGTATTTCACTTTGCGGGATTGGGATGGGATGTGGGATGATGACCCAAGGTCAAGGAGCTCTACCGCCAGGGAGAGGAAGCCGTCCACCAGGCAAATCCAAATCCGGTTGTGAGACACTGGTCTCAAGCTGCAGAAATACCCCACAGTGGAGGTTCGTCCTTTTCGCAGGTGATGAAGAGCGGTGAAGGCACCTGGCAGGGTTCCCTGCGACGACAAGATGGGGCAACTGCAACTGCCATGGGTCACTGTTCATATCATGAAAGACCTGGACTTAGGGCCCACTTTCCCCACAGGTTGCTGGGCTGCTTTCACTTCACATCGCTTGGCAGAAGAGTGACTTGTTCTGGAAAGTTGAGAACAGTTGCGTATCTGTTTCTGGAATGCATGATGACGTTGGTAAAATGGCCTACAGACCCGTACGCAAGCAGTTGTTAGCAATTCAACGGCTTCCACCAGATGCAACAAAACCAGTATCCACAGTCTATATCTATCCATGGCTTCCCATAGAGCCACCAGAGAAATGCATGGTCACGAACAACTGTCCTTGCTATATAACTACCGCCAGGTGTAGATCGGATCCGACTACTCCTGAGGGAAATGGGACTTGATTGAGATTCTCCTGGTTTTCGGTGTATATACAGTACATACACCAGTTGTTGCCAGTAAATAGCCATTGGAATCCCTCCATCTTCCCATCAGAACTTCAGCCTGCTCCCAAGGCTCCTACCCTTTCCAGGAGGCCAACTCTCGGCCTTTGATCGTGCGAAAGACAGATTGGGCGGGTCACCAAAGAAATGAGGGCTTTATTTGCTACATAGATATCATATGAATTAATATGATCTAATGATTCTAATGTATAGATTAAGATAATGCATCCATACTTATCAATATATTGATGATAATTTCGGCAGTATAGATGCATAGACACCATTTATGGGTACTAAAGCCCTGGCGGTTTAATGTGAGTCGCTGGATGCCCGGTCCAAGGTATGGGGAACTATGCCCAGAACATCCAGAGGCGGGGCTTGCAGTGGCTTAACATGTCATCTACTATGACAGCTATGCAAGTGCGCCAAATTCACATGCTCATATTGTCATAGTATTTTATTATCTGAGGCAATGATATAAAACTCATCAGTTGTTGGCCTGCGCCAATTCTTGTTTGCATCCCTTTTTGACGTGATCGTAACCGTAGCCTCAAAGACATTCACCAGTTCAACAAAACTTCAAAAGTAAAGTGGGAAGATTTGGGCATTCAATGCTGCAAATCCAGCTAAGAGATCTCAGCCGAGGTATTTGCGCTTTTGGAAACGAGACAGGTTGGTGATTGTACAGACGGAGGACCTGCACGAGCCTGGATCCAAGGGACATTTCACCATATTGCGATATCTTGCGAGTGGCTACACATTCTTCATCCCATTTTTTCCATGGCCATGTGGGTCATGTCCTGGTGACTGTTGCCACAGTGGCCACGGTGGCCACGGTCACCAGGTGCCGCATTGTTTCGGTCATTCAGCGCCTGGCAGAGATCCTCCCAGAGCTGAAGGAGATGCAGGTGGAGCAGCAGCGGCATCAGCGGCATCGCAGCCTTATATAGACCTGTGGTGGTTTTGATTCTCTTAATTTCTGTTATCTTGACAAATTTGAAGGAGATGTCTCGGAGATGTGTCAACCTTTTCAACTTTCATCTGGATCTATTTTTGAGCCAGGCACGAGCCCCTCCTCCAGTCCCGGGACCCAGTTTGCAGATGGCGATGGATCAACTCGTCACCCTATGATTTTTGGATGATTGGGTAAGTTGGATACGTTTGGTATCCAGATTTTGACTCATCAAAGGAAGTTTAGGGGGAGAAACTTCCGTGTTACGGACTTTTAGAATGTCAGGGAAAGAGTTAGTCAAAGAAAGAGTTTAGTCAAAGAAACAGTCAGTCAAAGAAACAGTTAGTCAGGGAAAGAGTTAGTCAAAGAAAGAGTTAGTGAGGGAAAGAGTTAGTCAAAGAAAGAGTTAGCAAAGAAACAGTTAGTTAGGGAAAGAGTTAGTCAAAGAAAGAGTTAGTGAGGGAAAGAGTTAGTCAAAGAAAGGGTTAGCAAAGAAACAGTTAGTTAGGGAAAGAGTTAGTCAAAGAAAGAGTTAGTGAGGGAAAGAGTTAGTCAAAGAAAGAGTTAGCAAAGAAACAGTTAGTCAGGGACAGAGTTAGTCAAAGAAAGAGTTAGTGAGGGAAAGAGTTAGTCAAAGAAAGAGTTAGTGAGGGAAAGAGTTAGTCAAAAAAAAAGTTAGCAAAGAAAGAGTTCGTCAGGGAAAGAGTGAGTCAAAGAAAGAGTTAGTGAGGGAAAGAGTTAGTCAAAGAAAGAGTTAGTGAGGGAAAGAGTTAGTCAAAGAAAGAGTTAGTGAGGGAAAGAGTTAGTCAAAGAAAGAGTTAGTGAGGGAAAGAGTTAGTCAAAGAAAGAGTTAGCAAAGAAACAAGTTAGTCAGGGAAAGAGTAGTCAAAGAAAGAGTTAGTGAGGGAAAGAGTTAGCAAAGAAACTGTTCCCTCACTGTAAATGGGATTGCAAGTGGTGCTGGTGGAGGAGTTGCCGATGGAGTTTTGGAGGAAGTCTCGCACGAAATGCGTTTTGAGAGATAGCAGATGCACGAAAGCCTATGTTTTTCCATACAAAGTCCGTCCCCGAACCTCGATGATCTACCTCTGCGGTGCGACGGGTGCGAGACGGTCTCGTGTGTGGTCGGATCATGGTCGGATCGGTCTCGGATCATGCTCGGATCGGTTCCGCATTGTAAATGGGGTTTCAAGTGTTTTTCGTGCATGCGCGGTCGACAGAATTCCATTGTGATTTGCAACTGTATAGGATCGTTCCCGCATTGTAAATGGGGTTGCAAGTGGTGCTGGTGGATGAGTTGCCGATGGAATTCCATTGTGATTTGCAACTCTAGGATCGTTTTCTCACTGTAAATGGGATTGCAAGTGGTGCTGGTGGAGGAGTTGCCGATGGAGTTTTGAAGGAAGTCTCGCACGAAATGCGTTTTTGAGAGATAGCAGATGCACGAAACCCTATGTTTTACCATACAAAGTCCGTCCCCGAACCTCGATGATCTACCTCTGCGGTGCGACGGGTGCGAGACGGTCTCGTGTGTGGTCGGATCATGCTCGGATCATGCTCGGATCGTTCTCGGATCGGTTCCGCATTGTAAATGGGGTTTCAACTGTTTTTCGTGCATGTGCGGTCGACAGAATTCCATTGTGATTTGCAACTGTAGGATCGTTCCCGCAATGTAAATGGGATTGCAAGTGGTGCTGCTGGATGAGTTGCCGATGGAATTCCATTGTGATTTGCAACTGTAGGATCGTTCCCGCAATGCAAATGGGATTGCAAGTGGTGCTGGTGGATGAGTTGCCGATGGAGTTTTGAAGGAAGTCTCGCACGAAATGCGTTTTTGAGAGATAGCAGATGCACGAAACCCTATGTTTTTCCATACAAAGTGCGTCCCCGAACGTCGATGATCTACCTCTGCGGTGCGACGGGTGCGAGACGGTCTCGTGTGTGGTCGGATCATCCTCGGATCATGCTCGGATTGCTCTCGGATCGGTTCCGCATTGTAAATGGGGTTTCAACTGTTTTTCGTGCATGTGCGGTCGACAGAATTCCATTGTGATTTGCAACTGTAGGATCGTTCCCGCAATGTAAATGGGATTGCAAGTGGTGCTGCTGGATGAGTTGCCGATGGAATTCCATTGTGATTTGCAACTGTAGGATCCTTCCCGCAATGTAAATGGGATTGCAAGTGGTGCTGGTGGATGAGTTGCGGATGGAATTCCATTGCGCTTTGCAACTGTAGGATCGTTCCCGCAATGTAAATGGGATTTTGGTTTGCAGCTCAGTCTTTGCAGCTCAATCTTTGCAGCTCAGTCTTTGGCTGCATGCGTAATAGTATTGTTTTTGGAGCTGGACTTCGTAAATCGTATTGGAGTGGCTGCATGCAGCTGTGAAAGTGATTTGTCAGCAGATTTTCTCAATTTTGGCGCTATTGATTTTCCTTCTAAAAATCCTTTTAATTAAAAAGTGCTTCAAAATCGTCTTTTTTTCGCTCTGGCGTCGAGATCCCGGTTTTGAAGCTACAATTTCCGACGCCGTTGCGCGTAGTTCTATTGTGTTTTGCAACTCAGTTTCTGCAGATCGCATTGTAGTCGCTGCGTCAAGGTTGCTTCCTGCTTTGGCTGCATGCGTAATACTATTGTCTTTTGCAGCTGGACTTCGGAAATCGTATTGGAGTGGCTGCATGAAGGCTGCGACAATGATTTGTCAGTAGATTTTCCCCATTTTGGCGCTAGTGAGTTTCCTTCTCAAAATCCTTTTAAAAAGTGCTTCAAAATCGTCTTTTTTTCGCTCTGGCGTCGAGATGCGGTTTTGGAGCTACGATTTCCGACGCCGTTGCGCGTATTTCTTTTTGTGTTTTGCAACTCAGTCTCAGCAGATCACATTGTAGTGGCTGCGTCAAGGTTGCTTGGTGCCGCGGCTGCATGCGCAATACTAGTGTCTTTTGCACCTGGACTTCGTAAATCGTATTGGAGTGGCTGCATGAAGGCTGCGAAATGGATTTGTTGGCAGATTTTCTCCATTTTGGCGCCAGCGATTTTCTTTTTGAAAATCCTTTAAAAAAATTCCTTCAAAATCGTCTTTTTTTCGCTTTGGCGTCGAGATCCGGTTTTGGAGCTGCAATTTCCGACCCAGTTGCGCGTATTTCTATTGTGTTCTGCAACTCAAACTTTGCAGATCGCATTGTAGTGGCTGCATCAAAGTTGCTTCCTGCTTTGGCTGCATGCATAATACTATTGTCTTTTGCAGCTGCACTTCGTAAATCGTATTGGAGTGGCTGCATGAAGGCTGCGACAGTGATTAGTGCTGGGAATTGATTAATGAAAGCTTAATAGATGACATATGAGAAGGGACAAATGAGAAGAGATGAGGTGGGATAAGGTGAGAAGAGCTCAGATGAGATGAAATGTGGAGTGTGAAGAGTGCAGTGTGAAGTGTGGGGCGTGAAGAGTGCAGTGTGAAGTGTGAAGTTTGGAGTGTGAAGGAAGCAGTGAGAAGTGAGAAGTGTGAAGTGTGGAGTGAGAAGTTTGGAGTGCAAAGAGTGCAGTGTGAAGTGTGGAGTGTGAAGTTTGGAGTGTGAAGGAAGCAGTGACTAGTGAGAAGTGTGAAGTGTGGACTGTGAAGTGTGAAGTGTGAAATGTGGAGTGTGAAGTGTGAAGTGAGAAGTGTGAAGTGTGAAGTTTGGAGTGTGAAGGAAGCAGTGAGCAGTGAGAAGTGTGAACTGTGAAGTGTGAAGCGTGAAGTGTGGAGTGTGAAGTGCAAAGTGAGAAGTGTGAAGTGTGAAGTTTGGAGTGTGAAGGAAGCAGTGAGAAGTGTGAAGTGTGGACTGTGTGAAGTGAAAGTGGGAAGTGTGAAGTGTGAAGTTTGGAGTGTGAAGGAAGCAGTGAGAAGTGTGAAGTGTGGACTGTGAAGTGTGAAGTGTGAAGTGTGGAGTGTGAAGTGTGAAGTGAGTGAAGTGTGAAGTGTGAAGTGTGGAGTGTGGAAGTGTGTGAAGTGTGGAGTGGAGTGTGAAGGAAGCAGTGAGAAGTGAGAAGTGTGAAGTGTGGACTGTGAAGTGCGAAGTGAGAAGTGTGAAGTGGAGAAGTGTGGAGTGTGAAGTGTGAAGTGTGAAGTGTGAAGTGTGAAGTGTGAAGTGTGAAGTGCGAAGTGTGAAGTGTGGAGTGTGAAGTTTGGAGTGTGAAGGAAGCAGTGAGAAGTGTGAAGTGTGGACTGTGAAGTGTGAAGTGTGAAGTGTGAAATGTGGAGTGTGAAGTGCGAAGTGAGAAGTGTGAAGTGTGAAGTTTGGAGTGTGAAGGAAGCAGTGAGCAGTGAGAAGTGTGAACTGTGAAGTGTGAAGCGTGAAGTGTGGAGTGTGAAGTGAAAAGTGAGAAGTGTGAAGTGTGAAGTTTGGAGTGTGAAGGAAGCAGTGAGAAGTGAGAAGTGTGAAGTGTGGACTGTGAAGTGTGAAGTGTGGAGTGTGGAGTGTGAAGTGCGAAGGGAGAAGTGTGAAGTGTGAAGTTTGGAGTGTGAAGGAAGCAGTGAGAAGTGAGAAGTGTGAAGTGTGGACTGTGAAGTGTGAAGTGTGGAGTGTGAAGTGGGAAGTGTGAAGTGAGAAGTGTGAAGTGTGAAGTGCGAAGTGAGAAGTGTGAAGTGAGAAGTGTGGAGTGTGAAGGAAGCAGTGAGAAGTGAGAAGTGTGAAGTGTGGACTGTGAAGTGCGGACTGTGAAGTGTGAAGTGTGGACTGTGAAGTGTGAAGTGTGAAGTGTGGACTGTGAAGTGTGGACTGTGAAGTGTGAAGTGTGAAGTGTGGACTGTGAAGTATGAAGTGTGAAGTGTGGAGTGTGAAGTGTGGAGTGTGAAGTTTGGAGTGTGAAGTGTGAAGTGTGAAGGAAGCAGTGGGAAGTGAGAAGTGTGAACTGTGAAGTGTGGAGTGTGAAGTGTGAAGTGTGGAGTGCGAAGAGCGCAGTGTGAAGTGTGAAGTGTGAGGTTTGGAGTGTGAAGGAAGCAGTGAGAAGTGTGAAGTGTGAAGTGTGGAGTGTGAAGTTTGGAGTTCGAAGAGTGCAGTGTGAAGTGTGGAGTGTGAAGACTTTGCTTCGTCTCTCGCTGAAAAAAAAGCCGCCTGTCGAGGGAAGGACACGGTCGGGACAGGTTGTCTTCGAACTATAGGTCATTTATTGTTGGGAAACTTCCGCCGCCGGCTTGCCCGGGTCTATGTTAGTCATTTCAAAGTTTTGGGCGTTTAGCTGGAGATTATCCTCGGCATCTATGCTGGACATCAGTCATGGCTTTTCGGGAGCAATGATAGATGACAAGCTTCGAAGTTTGTCCCGGTTTTGGGACGCGAGATGACTCCAACCTTTTGCAGATCATAGCATCATCATGGAAGGAGATGTGTTTTCAGAAGGTGAGAAAGATCACCGGTGAAAAGTCCGGCTATGCCAGAAGGGGAGCTTGTGACACTAGACTACACTGCATTGCTGCGTTGGCGGAATGCAAAACCACATCGAACTGACAAGACTAGCCTCAAGTCAGCCACTAAGCTCGAACTCCATGAATTTGGTGATTTCACCGGCATTTGTTTCCTGTCATGTTACGCAATCCACACTTGTCATGTACCAACTGCATCACCAGACCTCCCAGCCTTTGCTGAGCACGAGCACATCTAGCAACAGAGCATGATTGCTGCAAATGAGATGCCATCGCTTCGCTGTGCTTCTCAGTTTGGTAGGACTGCAGCTGCTCCTTGGAGAGAATGAGGGAAGCCGTCGCATGGTAGGGGCAGCCATCATGCAGGAAGGTTTGCAGGACGTCACAGAGCTTGCATTATCACACGGTCCGAACGCATTCCACACATTCCCACTCAAACGAATTTTGAAGGGTTGACTTTGTTGCCTTTGTTGCCTTTGTTGCCTTTTTTTGACTTTGTTGACTTTGTTGCCTTTGTTGTCTTTGTTGATTTTGTTGACTTTGTTGACTTTGTTGACTTGCCAGTCTTTTCTAGTGACAGCCTCACAGGTCTTCCCAAAGTTTCAAGTGACCTGCACTTCTGGATCCGTTCCCAGGTTGCAGCCTTCAGTTGATTGCATGGCCATCATGCGCAACCGCTGGGCGCGCACATCTCCAGGCCTTCAGGGATCAAGATGGGAAGGATACCGGGTATCCGACCAAGAGACAGGCCTGCCAGAAATCAGCACCTCACAATATAGAGATGAATCATGATGAATCATGATTCAACAAGTTTCTCCAAACATACTTAAACAAATCTTGAACAGACAGCATATTTTCCCTGCCAGGTGACGGTCCGGTTGCGTCCTCGGTGATTCTCTGGCTCCGCAACGAGCTCCGGCTCCACGACAATCCCCTGCTGCAACAGGGCCTGGAACGAGTGGCACAGGGAGCTCAGAGCCTGCAGCTGGTGGTGTGTCCCTTGGCGCATGTTTTTTGAAAACCAGATTGAGCCCAGGTTGAGTAGTTAAGCACTTGTTAAGCAGTTGTTGAGCAACTGGTATATTTCTCGAGTTCTGTGATCTTGACATGACACAAAGCCTCGCAGCTGACCCTCGGAAAGATTGCTGAAAACATGTTCTAAGATGATGTTCATATATTTTCATAATTTTCGTGAGACCCTGAGAATCAGGACACGGATCTGAACTCCGCAAGCTCCAGCCGAGGCTTGGATCCAGCGGAGTACAGCAGTCGGACCAGCTTTGGCAGCCCCAAGGCGATCACCATCAGTATTAGCAAGCATCATCTTCATTAATAATGATAGATTATGATGATTTATGTAATATGTCATTAACAATCATCAATATGTAATAGCCGTCGTCGTCGTCATCATCATCATCATCAGCGGCAAGAAGTGATGCTAACAGTCGTTGAATATAATCATGATGATGACAAAAAAAGACAACCACAAAATAACCATCGTTTGTTTGGCCATTGTTTGGCCATTGTTTCCATTGTTTGCCCACTGAACTCCTGGTGCTCCGTGAGGTTGGGGAGCTGCGCAAGCGCTTTCTGCAGGAGTCCTTGCTGGATCTGCAGAAGAGCGTAGTCACTTGCCGAAGACGTCCGGCACTTTGGGAAATACAAATGCGGCGGTCAACACCAAATATCCATAAACATTTCCAGTCATCTCCCTGTGCGAAATTGGAGTCTAATATATTCCAACCATGGCTGGAGCAGCTGAGCCAGGTCATCTCCAAACAAAGGGCCGTATGTTGGCATGTATTTGGTCATGGACATCCTCTGGGCCTAGCTCTTTGGTCCTGTGTGCTTCATTCAACTTGGAAGATTTGCTGCATCTCTAATCCTTCCCAGTGTTCTGCGGCTCTGCATGTGTGGATTTGAAGCATTTCATTTTGGCTGCCCTGCTCCTCGTGAATACTTGTCAATCAAATCCTTGCCTTTGACCTAGATGGACAAGTGTTGGTAAAGCTATACTTTCAGTGCCTTGGACGGGACTTTCATTCTCTTTACACCCTCAAAGTTAAAACACTGCATCCTAATCTCCTAATGTACGTTTGCCCTCAGCTTGAACACTATCACACGGTCAGTCGCCAGAAAGTCTAAGTTTTTCCCAAAAAACGAACCAAGTCTAAATTTTTACCAGTCCTTGATGACTTTTTATCTTTGGACCCCAAGGCAGCCCGAGGCTCGCGGCTGCTGGTGCGCTGCCAGGCTCCCGAGGAGTTGCTGCCCAGCTTGGCGCGCGAAAACTCGGTGGGCTCCCATGGATGCCATGGGTTGATGAAAAAAATGGATAGTTGAGATACCCCAAACCACATCCTTTTCCCCATCTCATGGGATGACTTGGAAATTCATTGGAATATATGGGATATATGAGATAGAACCAGCAATGCAGGGATTTGGGTGTTCTTGAAAATGGGTACCCAAAGATGTTCCTCTTTTTGTGGAAAATGTATATAAATGATGATTAGCCATGACATTTTGGGATTATCTATTTTCAGACAAAACCAGTGGGTTACCAGGTCTAGATCATGGGAGTACCGGAAAGTGGGGCTGATGTTTTCTTTGGTGTTGTTCTTGGATGTTTATGGAAGATGAGAGGTGGGAAAAGGCAATCTGGATGATTCTCAGCAGTCATCCTACATCGGTCAGAGTGGTCTTAGATGGTCTTAGGACTATCCCCTAGATTTGTGTCCAGATTGGATGCAGCGTACTGCCAGTTCTTTGGCTGGCACAGAGCCACGACGCTGGCAGGTGGTCTTGGTGACGGGACAAGTCTGCTCTGAGGAGAGCAGCGGGACCATTTGCGACCGATGGAGGGGCTCATTGTTTGTATATTTCAAAATGCATGAAGATGTACATACCCACAATAAAGCATTGCATCCAAGACAAACGTCACAAACATGTCAATCTTATCAGATCTTATCGGATCTTGTCAGATCTTAACGCATTAGATTTCCTGCTACAGGAGCGTGCTGCGGAGCGGCGCGTAAGCAAAGCCTTGCAGCAAGTGCCTGGTGCACGGCTGGAAGTCGTTCCTGCAGCAGGTGGATTGCCAGGATTGCGGTGGAGATCCAATGGTAGAAACTTTTTCTGAGATCCTTTTATCAAGATTTACGCCCGTGTTGTTGATAAATCAACTAGATATTGTAATATGCCCCTTGCAATGTGCTTCAACTAGCAAAGAATTTGCATGCCCACACATTGTCGATGCCACTAATGCAGTTGACACTGCTTGAGCAATCGATCATCACCTTGGTTCAGTGCAGGGTTCGAGTTCGAGTTTCAAAACAAAGTTCGTAGCAGAGACACAGTTGCGACGACTCTGGAGGTATCACAGATTTGGTTGGGCCACCAGAACTTGCAAGAGTGGGTGTGCCAAGTGCAGCCAGCTTCCCTGTGAACTTCCAGCATTTCTTTCAACCTTTGCGCCGCTTGGTTTGCTTGGTAATAGAGCAAGTGGATGATCAAAACTTTTGGGACAGAAGGGAATTATGTCAAAGTGAGGTTCTCCCGACTTTCCACAAATGGGGCTGAATTGCCCATGTTGTCTCAGAGTTTCTGTGAAGCTCTTCCGGCATCATCCGATTAATATCCGGCTGGCTCAGGACCTTACTTGCTGGAAATCTGTGACTTGCCACTTGTTCAGCTGGCCAGTGGGTGTGTACGGAATGACTCCGTGATCTTTTTTCATGTGGAGTTCCCAGGAGGGCCGCCTGTTCATGGCAGATCTGCAGTAGCCATTGTTGAATGTATCAAGTGTCTTGCTTGGAGACCAGCTCTCAGGCGTCCCTTTCCTGTTTCATACGCCTGGCTTCCCATCTCCAATGCTTGTGTCCATGAGCAGGGGAACATCACCATCTAAACCACAACCAAGACCACCAACACCAAGACAGCTACACCCCGGTGGGCAGGTGATGAAGGTCTCAGTGAAGCACCGTCGCGCTTGCCGCCGCCCTTAGTGGAAGATCTGGAAAATGACATGCAGCTGACCGAAGCGCAAAGCAGCACGGACATCAGAGGCAGCTTGGAGAAGATATGCATGGAAGTCGCGGCCCAAAACTCAAGATTAAGATTTTGATGATGATGATGATGATGATGGTGGTGGTGGTGGTGATGATGATGATGATGGTTTTTGTATTCTTACACCCGTTTACTTTGTTCACTTATTGTTCACTTAAGCCGATGCGTTGAGTCTTCCTTGTTTTACCTGTGATGAGTTGTTTCGAACCTTTCGATCGATGATGAAGTATGAAGAGGATTGCAAAAGTAGACCCTCCCAAAGAGCTTGACATTGTTGACATACATATCATGCGTTTGTTTGGCCTTTACTCTGGCGGATTCTTTTCAGCTATTTCACCCTTTGCAGGTGGGGAGACTGCTGGTTGGCAGCGGATGAATGTCTGGCTTGATGCTGGCTTGCACAGCTACAAGCACACCTTTCGACGACTGAAAGGCTACAACTGCATAGAATCTCGAACTTTGATATCAAGCATCACAAGAAGTGTTTCAATGCACGACGAATGATGACTTGCAACGTAGAATATACAAAAACACTTGTAGATCTGTTCAACCTCAATGGTGATGTAGCATGAAGATGACACATGGAAGGATGCAGAGATCCACCCAGCCTTTCTTTCCAGATTTCTGCTGCCAAGAGTTGTCCTGATAAACCCTGGAAACGTCTCGGTTCCCACGAGAGGCGACTACTCTTCGCGCTTGTCGCCGCACTTGGCGTACGGCTGTATCTCACCAAGACGTTTGGTGAAGGAGGCACAGCAGTTCAAGGATGTTCAATCAAAGAGTGTTTGTTGGTGCAAGTCAATCATGGACATTCTTTATCATCTTTATCCGACGATGAAAATGATTGCACTACCGTTTCACCCCAGGCTTTGCTTCGGAGCACCAGGCCTTCACCTCATGTGGCGCGGTGGTGATGTTTGGATGGGACCGAGCTAGCCTGGCTGCCCTGGACTTGGGTGATTTGGGGCTCATGCATCATGACGTTTGAATATGAAACCCAAGAATGTCCATACAGAGGAAAGTCCTTTTCTGCTTCTTTAACTTTGAGGGTCTATGTCCTATCGTCTTCGGGGATGTAATTCTTGCTTCCTGACTTTAAGATCAACAAGAAAGCAAGCAGTTCAGGTACAGATTCCTGCATTGTTCAAATGAACTGCAGTAATGGATCTGCCAAGCTGCTTGGAAAGGTGATGCCCTCAGCCCTCAACATCCCCAAATTGACACAAGGATGGAACTCTCCAGTACCTTCCGCAGCCTGTCGATTCAGAATATTGATAAGTGAATGGGTTGGCCTTTCGAAGCTTTGGAGAAGATGCAACAAATTCATGGGCAAAAAAATTGCCTTCAAAATGATATAGATGGAATAATTTTCAATGAAGCTGTGTTTGCGTTGTTGATTGGAAGCGGGGTCATTCAGCAATCAAGGTGGACCATTTTGTCTACGAGATGTGTTGGCGGGACTTCTTTCGACACACCTCAGCTCCTTGACGGAAATTCAACGTGTCGATTCTGCTGCGGATCAGCATCATTGCCAGATTTTGAATCTGACAGGAGATTCAAGAAAGGTATGAAGTTTGTTTGGGTGAAAGACTCCTTTCACCAGTTGGAATTTGATCTATGTTTTGTGCTGCCGAGTTGCTGATGCTGTATCAGCTCCTCATGGTACCAAGATCTGAGGCCCTCTGGGGGAATCAGATCTTCCGCGTCGAAGGTCCTGGTGGAGGATCCGGCCAGTGGCGTCGCGACCCAGTGGCTGAGAGGATCAAGGGCAGCTGTGGGTCCCAAGAATCGACATTCAAAATCTGGAAAGTCATCCTGAAAGGTCTTTCGAAGTGAGGTTGGGGTGACTTCAGTACTTTTCCGAAACTGGTTTGCAAGAAATCTGTACTTGTCGTCAGGAGATGGAAAGAGGGTTCCACTGGGGTACCTTTGGTCGATGCCGCAATGCGAGAGTTGCTGGCAACTGGCTACATGGGCAACCTTGCAAGGCAAGGAGGTATTTGGATACCGACAACACGGGTATTCCCAAGGGAAAGAATGGAACAGACTTCATGGGGTTCACATGGATTCACCAAGTCATACTAAGTACTAAAATGAGCATGATTTCTTCTCATAGGATGAAGCCGCACCAGCCGGTCCGCATTGATAGCAATCATGCAAGCATGGCTTTGAGTATATCCACAGACCTTTCCTAGCCATTGAAGCAGTGCAAGACAAAACATCAAAAGCCAGTCAAACTAGGGTTGATCTTCTCTTTCGGTGCGGCTTAAGCAGACTAAAGACAGGTGTAATTAAATTCCACTCCGATAGGATTGCTTCAAACAGAATCAGCAACAAAAGCTTGGTTGATCATTGATCATCAGAGATTGCCCTTCAAAATGTGCAAGTTCAAATGAATTCTTTGGATGGGCCAGCCTCCACTAGGTCCTTTAAGTCCCAAAGCTGGTTCGTTGCAGGCAGTTCGTTGCAGCTTTTCTGATCGAAGCTTGGATCAATTTCTTTGGTCAACTGTCAAAAGTGGACAAGGTTTGAGCAGTACCAAATCTTGTCGGATTTTCTAGTCCTAGACAGAATTTTGCACTTTGAACATCCCATTTTTTGACCTGTCAAAAAATCATGGCGACATCTTTGTGAATCGTCGAATTGGAAACTGGGTGAATCTCACGGGATCACCGTGTTGGACCTGGACCGAGGAGGATCTGCAGATCGACTGGCGCGTGGGCGCAGATTGGTTTGAGGTCCGCATCGCTGTGGGTCCATACGAAATGGCTAAGGATGGGAAAGGATTGGAATGTCATGTAAAAGAGGTCTTGAAAACATTGAAAACCTACAATTACATACAATTTCCGTAATAATCGTTTATCACCTCTTCGTCTTCCGATTTTTATCTTGATGTTCAGTTTTCCCGTGGCTCACATATGAGGCCACACTGGTGGACTACGATGTACACAGCAACTGGGGCCAGTGGGCTCGCTCGGCAGGTGCCACACACAAGGGATCTGGACATTGGATTTGACAGTAGGGTGTTTCCCCAAACAGGAACCATTTTGCTCTGAATTAGATGTGCTTAACATGTTTAAAAACACCAAAATTCCAGAAATCCATGTGATTCCAAGTCTCACAGTTCCCTTACTTTCCCATGTGGATTCCACTGCAGCATCCTCAGGTGTGGTCCCCACCACCGATGCCAAGCGGAACCGCGTGGGCGGCACCCGATACTACGACTTGGCATTGCAGTGTCCATAAGTCAAGGAGTACGTGAGGCTGGAGTGGGTCAATGGCAACCGCAGGTTGGGAGATCTGATGAGATCTGAACCTTGGAATCCAACCTGGGAATGTGAAGATTGCTAGCGATTGCGTCAAGTTGTAGACCGAACACCTGATGTTGGACGTGTGTTTCTGACCCACCGGCTTGAAGCCTTTGGTACATTTGGAATCATTTGGAAACTCTCCCCCCAGCGCATCCAGATTGGTTCAGAGCCACAAGCTGTGAAGAGATCCCTGGGAGGATAGGTGAGGATATGACTATGTTGCCCACAGGCATTGGCTCCCCGAGTTGAAAGAGGTCACAGATGAGGAGCCAGAGAAACTATTCACAAGAGTCTGGAAGTGGTCATTGGGTCCACAAAGGTCTTGTTTCGAAAACAAGCAAGAAATGGAATGATGATTAATGATTTTAATTGGTGAAACTACCAAATGGTCAGGGTTTTCTTCCCCATAATGATGGGACACGAATCAGCCGCAGGAGCTGTTTGCTCCTTGGATGGCTGGGAAAGCGCTTCCAGGTGGCTCGGCCCAGCTCTGGTTGGTCACTTTGCCCAATGAGTTGTGACCAACTCTACTTGTTTCCCTTGAGGCTATGCCACACCGTTGGTGTCCTCTAAGTTGAAGCACTATTTTGAATCCGTGGGTACCAGGCGGGGCACTAAGTCTTTGGTGCGGGGAATGGGAAGATGAAGATTGACAAGTTTCAAAAGGTTTGCGACATTTATCGACGTTGGCGACCACGACAGTTTGCCCGCGTCTTCAAAATGCCACGACTTGGTGGGTGTCAAAGTTTGATCCCAGGAACAGTCCTTGAAGCTACTGTATCCAACTGCACCCGGCCAGGCCTCCGAAAGGTGGAAGGGGTAAAGGCAAAGGTCGAGGTGGGAAGCTCCTGACAGTTGCAGTGCCACACTTGCGGATGTTTTCAGATATCTGAAATTCAGATTTGAAAATCCACAGTGAGTCAGTGTGCCAGTTTGCTTGTAAAGCGTGATGATCATGCAGTTTGAAATTGCTGCCGTGAATGGTGCCTTGTTCCGTTTACCCTTTCTTTGGAATATATGCGAGACCATTTCTGAGGAAGTTGTCCATTTTTCTCTCCTTTTCTCAGCATTGTCCCCTGAGATTGGAGACAATCAGCCAACTACGATACATATAATACATGTCTGCAAGAGTTGGTTCCACGTACTTTGCGACCATTTCTCATGTTTGTTGAAACCACATTCTCAGATATCAAGCGCCAAACAAGCAAAGATTTCCACACCAACGTAGGACCCATAGAACCACTGCACCTCCATGACAGGGCGAAAGTAGATGCCTGGTTCCACGAGAACTTTGTACATAAGGAGGCGGAGCTCCAGGATAGTCTGGGCCTGGTGAAATGGCAACAACCATCACTCGGCGAATGTATTGAAGCAACGCTTCGTATACGAAACATGTGTTGCATCATGTTTCATCATTCCCTTGCAATAGAGCTGAAAACATGAGGGGGGCTGCATTTAGCTTTTCCATTTCGGCCTTCGTTTGTCTTGAACATAACCCACCCCAAGAAGCATGTGCAACTTGATCACTAGTTGTGGATCCACATGTCCTTCAAGCTCGCCTTTGCACATCGCTTCCCTTTCACTTTTGCGCAGCATTGCAGACTTGTAGGGGACAGGTATGACTTCCTAGGAAGAACACTTGGAACAGATTGACGAATGACATGTCAGGATGAGGCCGGTGCCAATGCGCCAATGCCAGACATCGATTTTCGCTGAAAACTGGGCAGAGCTGATGTGCCGCAGCTTGCTGTGGGAATTTCAACCTCAATTGACTCAAATCGCAAGTCTTGATGCATTCTTTTTTGGCATTGGTTTGGTCTGCAGGTAGGAGAAACACATTGCAAGCAGAGAAGGTATTGCGTAGCTCACCAACTGAAGATGTGGTTTCTCCTTGTGGGCAAGCTCCTTTGGCATATACCTTTGCAACTTCAAAGCGCCTTTTGATCTTTAGAGAATGATATTTTAAGGCATGGAATTAAGAGGTTTGATATGCGTAGCTGCATAGCTTCGCCACATCGAGGCTACTTTACCCAGGCAGGGACAACAGATGCACCAGTCCAGGAAGACTTGGGTGTTCAAACTCATTGGACAAGTTGCCTTCAAATCATTCAGTTTTGAACCAACGTGAGGCGTCAGCAAACTTAGAGCTGCAGTTCACAAAATGTTAGGGGCGAGCTTTCATCATTTTGACGAAACGCTCTGAGAATCGAAAAGTTCTGCGCAACTCCGCCAGGCTCAACGGGTCAATGCCGGCTGCAGTGGAGCCCTCGGCCGAGGCGCAGTCTCCTGCCTCAGTGAAATAGCTGAGCGTGGAAAGAAGAGGAAAATAGATGAAGATAGCACATCTCGGGATGTCAGATGTAAAGCTAGTGATTTATGTGGGCTTGCAAGTGACCACGCTCCATTACACCTGGGGGCAGCTTCTAAAATAGATGTACCAAGATAGTGTTTTTTTTGGTGCATTGGACCTGAACTTTGGAAAGTTGCAACAGACAAACTGCGCCCAACAGCCCCGCAGAAACGGCGTTGCAACACATTGAGACCTGGATACAACAGGTCGATACAGATGGAGATGTTTCGTCCAAAATCGCCAGGAATTGGCTGAGATTGCAGAACACTATGGCGAGGCACCAAACCGGAAAGTCTTGGCTTACATCCTGGGTCCAAGGGAAATATCAAGCTGGAAATATTTGAATAACACATAGGAAGCGTTGTCAGGATCCACATAAGTATTGAGAGTTGTAGTATTAAATTAAATGAATTCATGCCCTGTGGATCCCTGTGGTCAGTTCGTTCTGTAGGTGCATGCATGTCTCGAATTGCGGCATCGAATATGACATGCCCAATAGGAATGTATCCATCTTGTCTTGTCATTTGGCTCGATTTCGTTGAAAGACCACAGCGGAAAATGGATGACGTAATTTCTTTCCACATTATCAGGAACAGCACGGTCATGCGAAAGCATAGGAAACAGAACATACTCTGCTCACAGTTCCGCAAAATCCGAGGCTTTCAATATGGCAGCACTGGACACAGGAAACACATGGAAACACTAACATTGTGTCTTTCAGCTCCGCAGGAATCGCTGCATCAGCTGGCTGTAATGCTGTGCCATGGCCGTCCGAGTCTTTAGCGATGGACATTTGCTGCTCGAAACTGTCGAAGACTCACTGCTTCGTTCGCAGGACCTGGAATCTGCAAGGTGGCTCTTTTGTGTGTGTGTCATTGGGGAAGGAAATTCATTAGACTTAACACATCGCATGGCTCACATGTCATCTAGAAGATGGTATCTCCATCACTTGTTATCTCTATTTTTTGTGTCTCAAGGACTTCGCTGGCTTGTTGAAGCAGCGGATCTGTGAGGTGAAGGGCGTGCCCAGCCACCGACAGAAGTTGCTCGGCATGGCCTCAGATCCAACAGTGTCACGCTGTCAACTTGGTGGATTTGAGATGAAACCGACAGCATCTTATGTGCAGCCAGCTACCCTCACGTGGATCAAATGAATCTATTCTAGAAATGCGTTCGGGAAGCCCAACGAGTCGTCCAAAGCTAATTTGGAGCTACGCTGAAACTTGTGAGAAAGAGAGGCTGGGTAGGTGGTCGAGTTTACCCGAACTGGTGATGGAGGATAGGCTCCATCTTTTTACAGTCCTGAGTGCAGCGCTTAGGTTATTGTTGCCTGGAAAGTCTGAATTGACAGAGGGCTGCTCATGGAAATCGCTGGGCAACCCTTTGGAGGTCTCAATGGAGATTCAACCAGATGATCATGCTGAGGAAGCTTGGTCAACACTGGGGATAGCAAGTTTGGCCGAACCATAGTTGAAAATTCAGTATTTGAAATGATTTTATCCTACAAACTTTTGAGAGACGTTTCCAGGGTTCGTTGCTTTTCCAAGGTTCAGAGGCATCAATTGCAGGCGAAAGTCAACAATGCAACACCCTGAAATAGAACATCTGCGCAACCAAGCGGTTCAACTTGAGTCACGGAACAAGTCGGTGCTCATATTTTGTGTGCCCTGCTCATGAAATTGAGGAACTGGTGTATGCATGTGAACACAAAAGAGAAAAAGATGTTCAGCGCCTTCTACGTGAAGGAAGGAATCCAAATGCCAAAGGCAAAGGACAGCAAAGGCCGTTGCAACTTGGTTTGAAAGAGGCTCAAACTCTGCCAAGGTAGATTCAAAAGGGACAGCCAAAATCAATAAAAGGATACTCACCAGGTAGACCATGCAGATATTAGTTGGAAATCCTTGTTAGATTTGATGGTATACAGGTCATTTGGTTTGAGTTGTTGCAAAAATTGGGGCTTCGAAGAAAGAATCAAAAATGCACATGAATGATATGCCACGACCGCGGATTGGTTGAAGAAGGAAAGCAAACATCCTATTCCTCAGAATTCACAGTATAAAAATAAGAGCACGTGTGTCATGGACAGCTTGTCAGGCTTTTTGTGTCCCTGCGAAGTGCGACGCTGATGCAGTCAAATTTTCCTTGTCCGTCCTAATCCCTACTTGGAGAAGATCCCACTGATTGCACATCGGAACATGATTGCCTTACCTTAGTATGCTGTTCTTCCCGTATATTTCTGGTTCCTTCGAAATAGTCATGAACTTTTTCACTTTTGTTCCAATGAGAAAGTTTTATTGTGCTACATCTGCTCGATTTGTTCGATCTATACCTGTCAGGGACGTGGCCATTCGCAGTCGCCACCTGGGCATTGTGCGGGCACTGCTGGAGGGCAAAGCACACCTCACGCCAGACGCCTTGCACCTGACCGCAGACCATCAGAGCGCCGAGGTGCACCACAGTGCAATGTGACGCAACGGTTGGGAAGGGCATGGAAGGGCTAGGAGCATGGTTAGGAGTTCAAAAGTAAAAATTGTATGCAATACCTTTTTTCGATATGAATTAATTCCATTGTGTTGAACTGGTGTCTATGTTGTTAAGTTTTGAGGTTTGAATATCACGTCTATCAATGATTTGAAAAGCTTGTACTTCTTGAAATGCCCAGTACCGCTGCATGGGTATCCCACATCATGGCCACCATGGCCACGATGCTCACCATGGCCGTTGAGGTCCTTCGGGTCTTGATTGCTGCCCGAGCACCGCTGGATTCATTGAGGAAGGGCGACTCACCTTTCGATGGCATGACTGCTTTGCAACAGGCTTGCATACACGGCTCCACCGAGGCCATGGGGAGCGAAGTTTGGGATCCCAAAGGGTTTCTGGTGGTTGCTGGTACTTGGTTACTGTTAGACGAGAATCGCTTAGTCTTGGAGAAATTGCTCAAATGTGTATGTCTTGGATAGATTTTCGGGTTGCCCTAGGCCACCACTGCAACCTGATTGCCAAAGCACCAAAGCCCCAACGAGGTGGTGCAACTCTTGCTGTCAGCCAGAGCGAATGTAAAAGCACAGAGCAGCTTGGCCCAAGGGTGGCTTGAAGCGCCAGATGCAGTTTGACCTTTTGACATGTCTATGATATCCATGCCTTATTGTAGCATTCGTGCTGTTGAACTTCAGCTACTTCCAAAGCCATTTGTGAATGCAATTTCAGATCAGAAGACTTGAGCATTCCTTTGAGAAGATTGGAACTTACGAATGAATCAATAAACAGAAATTATCCTGTCAATGTCAAATCTTTTCTAGCCATGCATGAGGCACCGGTGGGGAGACAGCCTTGCACCTTGCCACCAACTACGACATCGCCATGGCGTTGTTCAATGCACCTTGCCACCAACATGACTGCCACAGTGTGACAATAAAAAACATCAGTCTAGCAGCAAGCATTGAGCAGTCATGAATCTGAGTTTAAGTGATTCAACTGTTCAAGGCCAAAGCAGATGCAGGCATCTTAGACAAGTCGGGTGCTAAAGCCTTGTACCGCGCAGCCGAGAATGGCTTGGATTCAGTGACCAGGGCCTTTTTTGATGCAGGAGTTATCCCGAAAGAGCAACTTGACAGAAGACAAAAGCCTCCATCAGAATATATATTCTTCAATGAGTTTGTTCATGTCTTTCTGGTCTTGTGGTTCTCACCTGGATCTTGGAAATGCTCCAGCTTAGCAGATGATTCTTCTCCCAAAAGGACTGCGCCTTTCTTTGGGCCTTCCGGTTCCAAAAAGGGTTTGGACGGTGAGGAGCTGTATGGGATCAAGTTTTCTAACCTTTCCAAGTTTTCCAAGTTTAAGTCATTTAGGGCATCCAAGTCATCTAGGTAACCTGAGTCGTCTAAGGGACTGGGAGAGTACCAACAAGCTGATGCGAATAGTTCCTGGGCATCGCCGGAGGAAGGAGCGTAAGGAACGTTTTGCGCTTTGGAAAGATCCTATAATACACGTGTATATATATATACATACATACATACATACATATAAATAAAAATATACAAATAAAAATAAATATATAAATATAAATATAAATATATACATATATATATATTTATTTATTTATATATACATAAATTTACATAAATATAGATACATATATATTTATATATTTATATATTTACATATACATATATATATACATATACATACATACATATACATACACATATTCATAGACATACATATATATACGTATATATACACATATATATACGTATATATATATACATATGTATATATATATACATATATATACATATATATATATACGTATATATACATATATATATACATATACATACATATATATATATATTTACATACATACATATACATACACACATTCATAGACATATACATATATATATATACACACATTAGGTTTTCTTTGAATCATGAAACTTTTTGAATAAGTGAAAGTGCATTCCCAACATTACTGTGCATTGCTGTCCGTTTCTGTACAGGCCATGCTGACTTTTTTCGTGATTTTCATTCGAAATAGAAAGCGAGGAACAAGATATACAAATCCAGCAGGATTTTTTTTGCGGAACGCTTTGTTTGTTTTGGTTGCCCTTCCAAGACAAAGAAAGCAAGGTCCACGCACAACCTCCCTGTTCCTGTGAAGACAAGAAGCTGCGCTTTGCAGTTTGGGAGGTTGGACATGCCATCGATGCTTGGCCGATTCATGGTGCAGCTCTTGAACGCTGGCAGTTTAGGGATGCCTTGTGACCTTCTTATCTTCTTGTGCGCTTCTCAGAAGCCATCCCAGGATGAGTACATTGCAGAAGGTGCAAATCCAAATCAAGCAAACATTTTTGGATTCACGCCATTGCACTTGGCAGCATGGAGGAACAATTTGGAAGGCGGCCGAGCATTGGGGGGTGTGTAGTTGAAGGTTTTCTTTACTGTTCACCTTTTGAGATAATTGTCTCAAGCTCATGCACTTTATGGAAGCATTTCTGTGTTTCAGTTCAACAGTCCACAAAGAAATGTGAATCTTTGAAATGTTTGTTTTGTGCTTTTGCGGCAGTTGCTTGAATGTTCATCGCAGGATGTTTGTCTTGTTAAAGCTGGAAGCATTTGACGAATGTCGCATCGAAGGTGTCCGCGGGCTCTTGAGATGCAAAGCACATCCGGATCCTACAGCTTCAGATGAAGAAGCTGTGACTCCAATGCACCTTGCAGCTGAAAGCTCCTTGCTAGAAATATGACATAAGTTTTGGAGTGTAAAACACCTGGCCATCTTGACATTAATTTTTTCCATGGGAATTGGTACCTAAGATTCCGGGGTCGACGTCGTGCTGCATCTCGTGGAAGCTTCTGCAGACATCAACAGAAAATGTGGCATGAACCAACAAAGTGCATTACATGCGGCGTCTTTGCTGGGCGACGTGGACATGGTTCGGGGTCTGATTCTCAGCAGTGCTGCCTTGGATGAATGCGATGCAGATGGAGAGACCCCATTGCACTTGGCTGCGTTTGCGGGTCAGAGTAAAACAGCGCAACTTTTGCTCGTTGCCAATGCTTCAGTTGGGCAGCATGATGGAAGTGGTAACACACCATTTCATTTGGCTGCTTCGAATGGACACATGGGCATCTTACTTATTTTCAGCCAGACTTTAGTTTCGCTTGCTCACTTGATGGAAGGATGCATTGACTGAGCATGTCTGGTTGACATTTCAGGATACCCAAATATACCACTTCGTTTTTGGCCAGTTTGTTCCATCAACATGATTTTCCCGAAATTTAGCCACAAAATCTACTTCTGAATCTCGTCATCAGCAAGGTGTGGTGAAATCTTTCCTGATGGCTTTTGCTCCTTTGGATCAGCAAGATCATTCGGATGGGAACCTGACCTTGCATTTAGCTGCCCGAGCAGGGCACCTCGAAGTGGTGAGGAGTTTAGTTGAAGCGATGGCCTCTGTCCATGCCCAGAACAAGTCTGGAAACTCTCCGCTCCACTTGGCATCCGCTTATGCTCGCGTTGAAGTTATGCATTTTTTGCTTCAAGCACGTGCGCACGTGAACTGTCCGAATTTCCGTGGTGAAACGCCTTTCAACTTGGCGCTGCAGGATGGTTTGAATGAGGTTGCTCAAATATTACGTTGCTTGGTCACAGTTTTTGTTTTTAGCCTAGCGTTTGACAACTGCTTGGTCTCCCCCCGGCCCTTTGTGCTGGCAGTTACTCGACAAAATTCTAAGGTGAAGCAGGCGACACCTGTGCAGAGTACGCGTACGGTGATCCTTCCTATATGTGGCCAAAGAACTTCCAAGTTTTCGCTTGGCCAACAATGCCGATGCCAATTTCCATGCCAGCCATGCCCATGCCAATGATGCCAATGCCTGAATGAAGCCATACCATCATGGTTCGTTTCAAAAACGTTGCCAATTGTACTTCTGTTCTCTCCACATTCAACATTGAAGGCGGTGAAACTAGTGCAGTGAATTATTTGGTTGTGTTGGCTTCTTTGCGTTTTTGTTAGTATTGAGGAACGATCCATGCTAAACTTTCAGCGAACTTGAGGAGGCCTCGTGGCCGGAACTTTGCGTTACATGCAGCAAAAGAAGGCCTTTGCAAAAGGAATGCAATTTGGTGCATTTTGGGTTGGGCCAAAAGAAATTACCTCCAACAAAACCACATGTAGTTACATTGCGGAAAAAAACGATGTTTTTCGAGATGTTTCTTGTTCGAAAAACCAGGCAACTGAACAGATGCAAGCCTTGATTGACCGGTTTCGGCAGCATGAAGGCCAATGCTGAATTGGCCAAAATAATGGAATCAGAGCAGCCAGCTTCTGGATCAGGATTATGGCTTGAAAAAATGTGTCAATGGGCGTCAATGAGAATTATGTGTCATATCACATATCACGACTTGGGATGAGGTTGGAATATGACAATTAATTGTTGGTGATTTCTTGTTGTTTCCGTTTATGCTTTATGCTTCTTTTTTTTTTTTCATCTGCTAGGCAAGGGTCTCTAGATTTTAGACAAAACTGCAACTCACTCCTTCCCTCCTTCCTCATCGCCAATTCGATCCTGTGGACTGCGCATGGACCAGAACGCCAAATCGCGGGCCCGACATGCTGTGGAGTGTGCTTCAACTCGAACTCATGTCAGATAGAATGCCTGAAAAGATGCGAGAAAGAATGTCAGAATATAAGTCAGAAAATGTGTCAGGATAGATGCTAGATAGAATATCAGATAATGCGTTAGAAAAAAATATATATATATATATATATTTCATATATATTTCCAGATGGGATGTCAGAATAATGTATTGGAATTGGGATTACTCGAAGAAAATAATTTTGCTCTTCTGATTTGTTGCTTTTCCGCTTTTCTTTTTTTTTATTTGTTGTTTAGTTGTTTACTTCTTTATTAATCCTATATAATTTTGTCCGAAACCTTTTATAAAAAGATGTGCCTAAAGATTTATTATTTGAATTGTTTATTTTATTTTTATAATATATATTGTTTAATTGTTTGTATTTTATTTATTTTATTTATATTATTTGGTTATTATCTTTATTTATATATATTTATAAAATATATATATATAAATTATTTAAAATATTATAAATAGTATTTATATTATTTTTACAAAATTATAAATTATTTAAATATATTTATATTATTTAAAATTTTATTAAATAATTAATATTATAAAATAAAATAAATAAAAATAAAGCAAAAAAAATTATGTATAAATTAGGGAAAAAAATAAAAATAAAAAATTGGATTTAAAAAAAAAGGAAAAGTAAAATAAATTTAAATATTAAAAAAATAAAAATTAAAGGATTGGATAATGTTATTGTTTTTTTTATTTAGTAAAAAAAGTAAAAATGGAATGGGGAAATATGGAAAAAAAAATAGAAATAATAAAGAATTAATATAAATAATAAATATATTTTAATAAATTATATAAATTTTTTATAATAAATTATTTCTGATTAAGTATGTTACTAATATTTGGGAATTAAGTGTAATAATATTATTAAAATTATGTTTGTTATATAAAGTAAAGAAGGATATAATTAAA